GCACTCCAGCCTGGGTAACAGAGCAAGACTCCATCTCACAAACAAAACAAAACAAAACAAAACATCCAGGGGATAGGAAAAAAAGGCACATTCACTTCATAATCCTTCCATATTGCTTGTGAGAAAGTTAAGAAAACTTGACAAGGAAGGTCAACCCGTTAATAAACTTGTGCATGATCTGAGAGAAACAAGTTGAGATTCCTTTGACACTTACAATTCCCAATCTTGCTACTGTCTTAATGTCTGTATCTGAGTTAGCATTTTTCTGTCATAGATTTCTGTTCAGTGTTTTCTTCTCCACCTTTATCTGGGGAGTTGAGGTTCCTGTTTGAGTTTACCTGTGGACCAGGGGGTTTTCAATATTTGTGGCAATGGATCTTCCTGGAATTCAGAGAATCAACTACTCTATTCTCTGGGCATTTATAAGAAAATATAAAGAATTTTCCTCACATTGGGATTCCATTCTAATTATTATTGATGGCTGCTAATACTTAAATGCTAGTAAAAAAGACATTTTAGATTTACTAAAATTGTTAGACTTCCAGGACATAAAACCTCACTAGATAAGTTGCAGTATTATCAAACTGAAGTAAAATATTTGGGATCTGTGTTCTTGGCAGATGAAAGGTGGTTGTATCCTGAAGTCAGCCTAATATACAAATGAAACAACATACTTAAAAAAAAAAACAACTTTGACAATGTTGAGGATTGATTGTGGATCTGTGCCTTTTATGAAAAGGCTAAGCCTCTCACTGAGATGTTACATGAAACATCACTGGAACTTTTTATTATAGTCTAAATAAGGCTGAAGAAGTCTTTTAAGCCCTTAAAATAGCTGCTCTATCTTCACTTGTATTAGTTTTTAACCTTGATAAGCGGTTCTGCCTTTTCTGTCTTGAGATTAAGGGTTACTCCAAAATCAGGCCTCGATTATAGGTGCACTGCTTACTTACCTGCGTTCTTGTATTTTGTTGCTCTGGAAATACCATGATATTTACAAGGTACAGTAGCAGCCTCTGATTGAAAAAGCTCATTCAGTCCTTGACTCTGAGAAATTTAATTTATTTATAGGTACTTCATGTCGTTACCGCTATTTTACAAGTTCATAAGACACAGCCATGTCAATGTGCTGTCAAATGAGCTAAGAACAAATTTTACTGTCCAATCCTAATGCTATTTTAGACAGGTTTAACCTTTTGACAGCTACTCTATGGCCAGATCTTGACAGACTAACTTGAACATGACTCTGTCAGAGTCATTGAGGAAGACTTTGGAGCATGGTCTGATTTATCTAATATTCCTATTCTCCATGCTGACTGAATATTTATTGATATATTCTGTGTCAAAGACCCACAGGGGAATGTAAAAACATCTTCTACAGTAATCAGCCTTCAAGAAGCTTACAGGCTTCTGTTTTTTGAAACTTAAAATCAGTCCAAGTGGCAGAATTGTAGTTGTTATACCAGCTGTGAAATTAGCCACGAGTTGTAAAGCAGATATCTATAATGATAATAATTATATGTTTGTGATCTGTTATATGACTAGCCAACTTTGGAAGAACAGATACTAACATCAGTAGGTACTAAAATATTACATGTGAAACTAATTTTTGATTTAGTAGAGTCACTCAAACTTCTCTAACAGATTTATGTAATTTATTATAGAGCTCACACTGGAAAACAAGATTAACTCTTTAAAAAGAAATTAATTTGTATATCTAGCTGTGAAGGGCTTCTAAGGCTTAGACTGGGGAAATCACCTCTATCACACTCCCATCCAAAACCTCCTGTTCATAATTTCAGAAATAGCCAACTCTCAAAGAATTAGAAAATTAGAAATGAAGAAGAGCTAAGAAGAACACCATAGGAAAATGAGAATTGCAAAATGAAATTCTCCTTTATTCCAGCTGTCATATGATTGAGTGGCTTTTTCATACCACCAAGTTTATTCAAGTGAAAGGAATATACTGACAACTTGAAATCTTTGTGATAGGATCATATAATTCAGGAAATAATATGAAGATATGCTCTTAGTCAGAAAAATTCTTTACTTACCTAAAGCTTACTGAGGCCAATGATACCTAGGATCTGCTGGCACAAGAACTTTATAGAACTTCCACCTTTAGAAGATACTAAATATTTTTACCAGTGTTGTGTATTGGTGTCTGGATAGGCTAAAGCAGATGCTCAAAGAGTGATCAAGCTCTTACTGAATCATAACATCTCAACCAGTGGAATTCCTGAATATATGGAGTCCAGTAAAGGAAATCATTTTATATCTATGGGAATTTGGGAGCTCTGTAATAGTCTACAAATACCAATAATTACCTACCTGTTTTCCCCAGTCTTCTGAACAAATGGAATGCATGAAACACATACCCTAAAGAATTATTTAGCTAAATTATATAAAACCTTACCATCAGTTTCATAATTCAATCCCTCTAGCAAGCACAACACTTCTTCCTTTGAGTTTGGAAAGTCTGTGAATCTTGGGCTTAAGCCTAACCCATTCTCTGATACAGTGGAAAACCCTCATGACCATATATGATACTTAAAGAGTTTGTGGGTTTCCCTGGGCTCACCTTGCCAACATGTGGCCAGATGCTGAAAAAGCCCCCTGGGGAAGTGTGTCATTGATATTGAACGGGAGACTCAATCTGTATCAAAGTGTTCCGATGATAGACTGTGTCTACACTGGACAGAACCCTATCAGGTGTGGTCGAGAAATCACAGTGCATCCACCATTGAGTGAGCTATAATTTCCATTTAGGACCTTAAAGATAAATTCTCTAGATAGAAACCTTGAATAATATGCAAGCTGAAGAGAAAAACTTCTCTGACAGACAGACAGCAGGAGAGATAGACTATTTTGTTATTAATGCTTCTTGGCTTACCACAACCTCTGCTTCCCGGGTTCAAGTGATTCTCCTGTCTCAGCATCCCAAGCAGCTGGGATTACAGGCATGCACTACCACACTCAGCTAATTTTAAATTTTTATTAGAGATGGGGTTTCTCCATGTTGGTCCAGCTGGTCTCCAACTCTCCACCTCAGGTGGTCTGCCTGCCTCAGCCTCCCAAAGTGCTGGGCTCACATGCGTGAGCCACTATTCCCAGCCCAACTCTGTATCTTAAATAGCCATCGGGGTCCAGTTTAACAGAGCTCAAATAGATGCACAGATGCAGAGGAAATCTCCAAGCCCAAAAGATGAGGGTTAGTTTCTTCAAAACCCCCAAAACATATGCCCTAAAAATGAGCTTACCCTGTTTAGAACCTGGCAGTCACCAGTCTCCATGCTTACGAACTCAAGGATAATTAAATGGTCTCTATCATTTAATATTACAATAGCTAGTGTGAGTAAACTGAATTCTACTTGTACATGATAGGCTTTACCACTATGTTTTCACACAGGGATTAAAATGGTGCTATGATCAAACTAAAAGAGATTTATTTTTTTTAACAGATGAGGTCTTGCTTTGTTGCCTATACTGGAGTGCAGTGGCAAAATCATAGCTCTCTGTTGCCTCTAACTCCTAGGCTCAAGGGATTCTCCCGTTTCAGCCTCCTGAGTAGCTGGGACTACAGGGACATGCCACCATGCCTGCCTTTTTTTTTTTTTCTTTTTTGTATGGTCAGGGTCTTGCACAGGCTTTTTTGAATTTCTGGCCTCACGTGATCCTCCTGCCTCGGCCTTCTGAAGCACGGGGTTTGCAGGCATGAGCCCCCATGCCTGGCCAGAGATTATTAAATACAGTATTAGGGGGAATAAAAACTGGAATTACAACTGCAAACTCTTCTGATACAGAAACAATTACTGATAAACTTAGTGCCTTGGACAATTTGAAGAAAGATGTAGACATGATAGAATAAAAATCTAAACAAGATGTGACAAGAAAGAAAAACAGAAGTGGAATTGGACAAGCATTTGGAATTGGACATCTGGTAATAAAATTCTATTGCAGAAAAATATAGCTACGATTGTTTAGGGCCTTGGACAATTTGCAGACAGATGTAAACATGATAGAATCCACATCTCAACAAGATATGACAAAAAGTAAGGTCTATATAAAAAGTAAGGTCTATACAAAAAAGTAAGGTCTCTATACAAGACAAGACCAACATCTCTGTAATATAAATGGGATTCTAAGTGTAATAGATTTAGGGTTTCTGAAAGAATTTTGAAAGTTTCACATTCTACCAACAAAATTCAAACATGAGACTGAGGAACTTCCTATTTCAGCTAAACCCAGAACTGATTATGTTGATGAACACAGGAATTTCATGTGTGTAAAAACATGTGAACTCCTCATTTTCAGTCTAATGAGAGTAAAAGCAAAGCACAATGAAGATGCAGGGAAATGATAGTACAGAGTGGAGTCATAACTGCATTCTAGATACTGAGATTACTTTCCATTATGATATATAAGTTTAGAATAGCTCACATACAAAGAGCCCATGCGAAATCCTGCTGAAAGGTAACTACAATTATAGAGAGAATAGGTTAAAAAGTGGCATGGTTTAGTATGCACCCATTAAAAATTCTTCTAAAAATTTTTTTTTTAATACGGTAGAATGGGTAAGACGAGGACAGGCATAAAACGGTCAAAAACACTGGCAGAATTCAAGGTTCGTTTTGACAATGGTAATATAAATGGGAAAACTGCCAAAAGAGAAAATACGTCTTACATTAGAAAGCATACAGGAGTAGTTGTATACAAACGAAGACACGTGCCAAAAATAAAGAAAGAAATTACGGCCGGGCGCGGTGGCTCAAGCCTGTCATCCCAGCACTTTGGGAGGCCGAGGCGGGTAGATCACGAGGTCAAGAGATCGAGACCATCCTGGTCAACATGGTGAAACCCCGTCTCTACTAAAAATACAAAAAATTAGCTGGGCGTGGTGGCGCGTGCCTGTAATCCCAGCTACTCGGGAGGCTGAGGCAGGAGAATTGCCTGAACCCGGGAGGCGGAGGTTGCGGTGAGCCGAGATCGCGCCATTGCACTCCAGCCTGGGTAACAAGAGCGAAACTCCGTCTCCAAAATAAAAAAGTCACACAATGTGGAATTCCAAACGCTTCAAAAGTAAAGAGATGCAAGACATTAACATAGCCACAAACACGCTGGAACAGTAAGAGCGGGAGCCCACGTGAGACCAGCTTCACGGCCGTGCGAGGCGAGCATGCGGACCCGCCGCAGGCACCACGCGGCTTCCGGTCCCCGGGCGGCGGTTTCCGGTGCGCGCTCGCAGGGGACGCCGGGAAGGGCGCCCGTCAGGCCCGGGGGCAGGCTCGGCGCCCGCCAGGTCTGTGGCGGCGAGCGGGTGCCCGGCCAGCCTGCGGGGGTGGCCGTGACCTGGCCGGTGGCCCTAGCGTGCGCCGAGCTGTCCCGGAGCGGCCCCGGGCGTGACGCGGACGGAGGAGCGGCGTGGGCAGCGGAAGCGCCCGCGGGGCCTGCGGTGGCGCGCACGAGCCCGGTGACCCGCCCGCCCCGTCCTTCCGGGCTTGGGTGGCGGGGAGGGCCGAGGACCCCCGCGTCCGTGGCGGGTCGGCGCTCCCGTCGCGTGGGTCCACGGAGGGAGGGCATGCCTGAGCCGACGCACCCGAGCGCCTTCCTCGCGTGGAGGCCGAGGTCGTGTTTGGACACCTGTCCTCCTGCCCCCCAGATGGTGACCGCGGAGGAAGACCTGCGTCGGGCCCAGTGCCCCGGGGCCGGGGGTCAGTCCCCGGGGCGCCGAAGCTCAGGCCCTTCCCGGCGCCCTGCTCTGCCCTGAGCTTGGTGAGCCCATCCGGGCCCGCTGGGTACATGCGCGGGGAGGCGGGTGTCCTAGGTCGGGTCGATGATGAGAAACATTGTCCTGAAGGGAGGTGATGACTTAAAAATCATGCTCAGTAGGATTACGCTGAGGCCCAGCCTAGGGGAGAATGTTGGAAGAGGACGCTGGGACCCCGAGGTTCCTGGCAGGGCCACTGTGTTTTGGGCTGGAGACCTGGAGGCCGTGAAGGGCTTCTGGAGGGAAGTCCAAGCGTGTCTCTGCGCTCCTCCCTGAGGTAGCACAGGCTCCCTTTGTGGGCATATGTTGGGGCTCTGGTTCTCTAGGGGTGGGGCACATGGGTGTCTCCTCCCTGATCCCATTCTCCCCTGTCTTTCAGTGCACTCTTCTGCCCGGTAGTCCTGGCATTGACCAGCATAGGTGAGTGGATCCTGCTGGGGTCATGGGCCATGATCCAGGCCGCGTGGGGTTGCTGACAGTCAGCCATAGGAACAGGAGGGTTTCTTCAGGGAGCCAACCTGAATCCGCACTGGAGAAGGATAGGTTCTCCAGGAGGGTGGCTTCCTTGGTAGTCTGACCCAAGGAGGATATCTTCTCTGAAGCCCTGCAGCAGTGATGGTGGTCCGGTAAGCAAAGGGTTCCTTCAGCCCCACCCAGGGCAGTGCCCAGCTGAGACTCTGCGCAGGTCTGACCTCAGGGGCTGCCCAGGCCACACGAGGGGTTCCATAGGAGGTCCGAGGCACCACAGGGGTCACACAGTAGCTCTCCTTCCCCAGAGAGAGGTGAAAGATCAGGTCCATGGGATCAGGCCTTTGGAAATTTAAGAATCAGGCCCCACCCATGGCCCTGAATGGGACCAAGCTTTTAAGTCATGGGCCATCCAGCGGTGCCTCTTTGAGCCTAGTGAGGGGTGATGCGGCTTCAAGGGGTTTGGGTCAAGGCTGAGCTCTGGCTGGCACCTGGCCCTGGGACTCGTTGGCTTTGGGCAAAGGGGCCAGCTCGCGTTCTGCTGGCAGTCACCCTTTCCCCATGGGTGACTAGTGGGAAAGTGGCATCCTTAGATGGGAACACCCACTGTCAAGGGTCCTTTGCTGGAAATTTGCTACCCAAGCTGCTTCTGAGCCATGGACACACCTCCAGGGTGGCTAGGTCTTGGCCCCAAGGAAAGGAGAAGACACCATGTGTCCCCCAATTGGCCGAGTGTGGTTCGACTCTCTGTTTGGGAGGTGTGTAGGGCATGGATGGGGACCCACCAGAGAATGCACGTGGCCCGGGGACCCAGCTTGCGATTTCTGGTGCACACTTGGAGAGAACCCTGGGCAGGTGCCCTCCACACCAAGGCACTGGCTATGCGACTGCCAGGTCTGCAGTGACATGTGGCTTCCGGGACAGCCTTCTTGGTTGGCCATGAACTGGTTGGTTGCCCTGGCCTGTGCCCAGTTATCTCAGAGTGGCCCAGGTGTCTTGCAGGGGAGCCAGCATGAGTAGTGGAGGTATTCATGGGACCGGCAATGGAGCGCAGCCTGGGAATCCTGCCATGAGCCCAGTGACCCACCTGCCCTGTCCTTCTAGGGTTAGGTGATAGGGAGGACCAAGGGTCCCCTCGGTCTGTGATGGGTCAGTATTCCTATCACGTGGGTTCATGGAGGGAGAGCATGCATGAGCCTTCATCCCCCACTGCCTTCCCCCTGTGGAGGCGTGAGGCCCTGTTTAAACACGTGTTCTCCTGTCCTCCCAGACGGTGAGCCTGGAGATAGACTTGCCTCGGGCCTGCTGTCCCCAGGCCAGTGTCCGTCAGCCAGGTGCCCAGCCCCCAGTGCACTGAAGCTCGGCCCTTCCTGGTGCCCTCGTCTCCTGCACTGAGCTGTGGTGAGCACATCTGAGTCCTGCTGGATGCTTGTGTTGGGGGGCGGGGGGTGCCCTGGGTTGGGTCGATGATGAGAACCTTATATTGTCTTGAAGAGAGATGATGACTTAAAAATCATGCTCAATAGGATTACGCTGAGGCCCAGCCTAGGGGAGAATTTTGGAAGAGGATGCTGGGATGCTCAGCAGGGCCGCTGTATTTTGGGCTGGAGACCTGGAGGCCCTGAAGGGCATTTGCAGGGGCCCAACCCTATCTGCGCTCCTCTGTGAGGCAGCCCAGTTCCCTGTGCAGGCTTGGTGTCGGTCTTCTGGTTCCACGGGGGAGGTCACGTTGGTGACTCCTCCCTGAGCCCCGTTCTCCCCTTGTGTCTTTCAGTGAGCTCTTCTGCCCATGAGGGCCCCCTGGTATTGACTGCATAGGTGAGTGCATTCTGCTGGAGTCATGGGCCGTGAGCCTGGCTGCGTGGGGTCGCCAAGGGTCCGCCTTCGGGAAAGAAGGGTTTCCCCAGGGAGTCAACCTGAATACCCACTTGGGAGGGATGGGTTCTCCACAAGGGCAGCTTCCTGAGGAACAGGACCCAAGGAGGATGCCTTCCCTGAAGCCCTGCAGAGGTGATGGTGGTCCAAGCAGGAAAGGTCCCTTCAGTTCCACCCGGGGCAGCTCCCAGTTGAGTCTCAATGCTCAGGTCTGGACTAGATGACTGCCCTGGCCATATGACAGGGGCACCATGGCGATTACACAGGAGCTCACCATCCCTGGAGAAAGGTGGGTGATAGGGGCCATGGAGGTGAGCTGCAGAGGTGCAAGCATCATGCCTGATGCATGGCCCTGATTAGGATTGCCCCTATTGATCAGTGCGCCATCCCATGGGCGTCTTTGAGCGTGGAGGGTAGTGGTGCTGTTTCACTGGGGTTAGGTCAAGGGTGAGCTCTGGCCAGCACATGGTGGTGCTGCAGTCTCGTGGGCTTTGGGCTTGAAGGGGCAGTCCACATTCTGTTGGAAGTCACTCCTTCCTTGTGGCTGGAAGTTACCCCTTCTCTTGAGCAAGTGTCGGGAAGGGTGGCCTCCTGAGGTGGGAAGGCCTGCTATTGAGGGTCTCATCCTGGCCATTTGCTGCCCATGCTGCTTCTGAGCCATGGAGTCACCTCCAGAGTGGCAGGTCTTGGGCCCAAGGAAAGGAGAGGACACTGTGCCCCAATTAGCCGAGTGTGGCCAGGTTTTGTGTTTTCGAGGTGGGAGGGGAATGGATGGAGAGCCACCAGAGAAAGCTCATGATCCTGGGACCCCAGGTTGCGATTTCCAGTATGTGCTTGGATACGGCACCTGGGTGGGTGCCTACCACGCACAGGGACAGGCTATGTGACTGCCAGCTCTACAGCAGCATCTGGCATCTGGGCCAGCCTCCGTGGTTGACCGTGAGCTGGTTGGTGGTCCTGACCTGTGCCCAGTAGTCCTGGGGTGTCCAGGGATCATCTGGGGGAGCTGGCATGTGCAGTGGAGGTGCTTGTGAGCCTGCAGTAGGGGTCAGTCCTGGCTTCTAGCCTGAGCCCAGTGACCCAACTGCCCTGTCCTTTCAGGGTCCAGAGGCAGAGAGTACAGGGTGCCCTGCGTCTGTGTTGGGCCAGTTCCACATGGACCCCATCACATGGGGCCACGGAAGGTGAGCGTTCCTAAACCGGCACACCCCACCTTCTGCCCCGTGGAGGAGTAAGATTGTGTTCGGACACCTGTTCTCTTCCTATTCCCCCAGATGGTGACCCCAGAAGAAGACTTGAGTTGGGCCTGCTGTCCCCAGGCCAGTGGCCATCAGGAAGGTACCCAACCCCTGTTGCACTGAAACTCGGGCCTTTCCTGTCTCCCTGATCTCCTCATTGAGCTTGGGTGAGCCCATCTGGGTCCTGATGGAGGCCTAAGCAGGGAGAGTGTGCCCTAGGTTGGGTCAATGATGAGAACCTTCTATTTCTCTGAAGAGAGGTGATGACTTAAAAATCATGCTCAATAGGATTACGCTGAGGCCCAGCCTAGGTGAGAATTTTGGAAGAAGATTCTGAGATCCAGAAGTCCCCAGAAAGGCCACTGTATTTTGGGTTGGATACCTGAAGGCCCTGAAGGGCATCTGTAGGGATCTCAACCCTGTCTCTGAACTCTTTTGTGAGGGTCCCCAGGCTCCCTGTGTGGGTTTGGTGCCAGCGCTCCAGTTTGCTGGGGTGGGGCACGAGCGTGACTCCTTCCCGAGCCCCTATTCTCCACTTATGTCTTTCAGTGAGCTTTTCGGCCCAGTAGGGCCCCTGGCCTTGAGCAGCATAGGTGAGTGGATCCTGCTGGGCTCATGGGCCGTGAACCAGGCCACATGGGGTCACTGAGGGTCAGTCTTCAGGACAGGAGGGTTTCCTGAGGAAACCTGAATCCCCACCAGGGAGGGATTGGTGTTCCAGCAGGGCCGTCTCTTTGGGAATCTGACCCAGGAAGGACACCTTCCCTGAAGCCCTGCAGGGGTGACCGTGGTCCAGGCAGGACAGGGTTCCTTCAGGCCCACACAGAACATCTCCCAGCTAAGGCTTGGTGCTAGGGAGCCTGGGCACCCTCCTTGTACAGGGGCAGGCTGTGTGTCTGCTGGCTCTACAGCAGCACCTGGCTTCAGGGCCAGCCTCTTTGGTTGGTCTGCACTGGTGGGTGGCCCTGGCTCCTGCCCAGGGGTTGCCATCTGACCTGGGAAGTGCAGGGAAGCTGACGTGGGCAGTGGAGGTGCTCCAGAGCCCTGCAGTAGGGCTCAGCCTGGGCAGCTTGCCCGAGCCCAGTAGCCCACCTTCCCTGTCCTTCCGGGGTTCGGTGTCTAGGAGGGCAAAGGGACCCCCATCGGTGACACAGCAGTGTTTCACATGGATGCCATCACATGGGTCCACAGAGAAAGAGCAGGCATGAGCTGGCACCTACCACCCCCTTCCCCGTATGGAGGCCTGAGCCCTTGGTTGGACACATGTCCTCCTTCTGTCCCCCCAGATAGTGACCCTGGAGGAAGACTTGCCTTGGGGCTGGCCTCAGATCAGTGGTCATCATCCAGGTGCCCAGCCCTTGGTGCACTGAAGCTCAGGCCATTCCTGGTGCCCTGGTCTCCCACAGTGAGCTGTGGTGAGCACATCTGGGTCCCGCTGGATGCATGTGTGGGGTTGGAGGTACTTTAGGTTGGGTCAATGATGAGAATCTTACATTGTCCTGAAGAGAGAGGTGATGACTTAAAAATCATGCTCAATAGGATTACGCTGAGGCCCAGCCTAGGGGAGAATTTTGGAAGACGATGCTGGGATCCCGAGGTCCCCTGGCAGGGACACTGTTTTCGGCTGGAGACCTTGAGGCCCTGAACGGCATCTTGTGCCAGGGTGGGGGTGGGGGCAGCTTTGTCTCTGATCTCCTCCGTGAAGCAGCCCAGACTACCTGTGCGGGCTTGGTGTCGTTACTCTGGTTCCATGAGCCCCCATTCTCCCCTCGTGTCTTTCAGTGAGCTCTTCCACCCAGGTGGGACCCCCTGACATTGACCAGCATAGGTGAGTGGTCCTGCAGGTCATGGGCCATCAGCCAGGCCACGTGGGGTCACCAAGGGTTGGCCTTTGGGACAGGAGGGTTTCCTCAGGCAGCCTACCAGAATCTGCACTGTGGAGGGAGCGTTGGTCCTCCAGGACGGCAGCTTCCTGGGGAATCAGAACCCAGGGCACCTTCCCTGGAGCCCTGCAGGGATGACGGTGGTCCAGGCAGGAAAGGGTTCCTTCCGTCTCACACAGGGCAGCCCCCAGCTGAGTCTTGGTGTGCTAGTCTGGCCTTGAGAGCTGACCAGGCCACATGAAGGTGGCCACAGGGGCTGCGGGACGCCATGGGTTCACAAAGGAGCTCTCCATCCCTGGAGGAAGGTGGGCATAGGACCCATGGAGTCGAGCTGCAGAGATTCAAGGATTGCACAGGACTTATTGCCCTGAATGGGACCAACCCTGTTGAGCAGTGTGTCATCCCGTGGCGCCTCTTTGAGCCTGGAGTGGGTGGTGGTGTTTCCCTAGGTTTGGGTCAAGGCTGAGCTCCGGCCAGTGCCTGATGGTGTTGCTGTCCGGCCATAGACTCGTTAGCTTTAGGCCAAGGGGTCAACCCATATCCTGTTGAGGATCTCCCCTTCCCTGTGGCTGGAAGTCACCCCTTCCCTGTGGGCGAGTGTCAGGAAGGGTGGCCTCCTGAGGTGGAAGGGCTGCTCTCGAGGGTCTTGTCTCTGGAATATGCTTCCCATACTGCTTCTGAGCCATGGGGTCACCTCTAGAATAGCAGGTCTTGGGCCTAAGGAGAAGTTACCATGTGTTCCCTATTAGCTGAGTGTGGCCCTGCTCTGTGTTAGAGGTGTGTGGGGCATGGATGTGGACCCGCCAGAGAAAGCATGTGGCCCTGGGACCACAGGTTGCGAGTTCCAGTACGTGCTGAGATAGGGCACCCAGATGAGTGCCCACAGTGAACAGGGACAGGCTGTGTGACTGCATCTGAGCCAGCCTCCTTGGTTGGCCATGAGCTGGTTGGTGGCCTTGGCCTGTGCCGAGTAGACCTGGTGTGACCCTGGTGTCATGCAGAGGAGATGGCATGGGCAGTGGAGGTGCCCGTGGGGCCTGCGGTAAGGCATACCTGGGGCTTCTTGCCTGAGCCCAGTGACCTGCCTTCCCTGGCCTTTCATTATTCGGTGGTTCAGAGCGCACAGGGTGCCCTGTGTCCGTGACAGGCCAGTGTTCCACATGGATCTCATCACATGGGCCCATGGAAGGCGAGCATCCCTGAGCCATCACACTCCGCCTCTGCCCCCATGGAGGGGTGAGGTTGTGTTTGGACACCTGTCCTAATCCTCTTTCCCCAGATGTTGAGCCCTGAGGAAGACTTGTATTGGGCCGATGGCCCCAGGCCAGAGAGCATCAGCCAGGTGCCCAGCCCCTGGTGCAATGAAGCTCGTGCCCTTCCGGGTGCTCTGGTCTTCTGCATTGAGCTGTGGTGAGCACATCTGGGTCCCCCTGGGTGCATGTGCAGGGAGGGGGTGCCCTGGGTTGGGTCGATGATGAGAACCTTATATTGTTTTGAAGAGACATGATGACTTAAAAATCATGCTCAGGCCCGCTGAGGCCCAACCCAGGTGACAGTTTTGAAGAGGATTCTGGGAATTGGGAGTTCCCCAGCAGGACCACTGTATTTTGAGCTTGAGACCTGGAGGCTCTGAAGGGCATCTGGAGGGGCTTAACCCTATCTCTGCTCCTCCATGAGGCATCCAGGCTCAATACGTGTCTTAGTGTCAGCGCACCCTTTACCCTGGGGCGGGGCACTCTGGCGACTTCTTCCTAAACCCCTATTCTCCCCTGTGTCTTTCAGTGAGCTCTTCTGCCCAGGCGGGCCCCTGTCCTTGAGCGGCATAGGTGAGTGGATCCTGCTGGGGTCATGCGCCATGAGCCATTCAGCGGCGGGGGTTGCTGAGGATCACACTTTAGGCCATGAGGGTTTTCTTAGAGAGCTGACTTGAATCCCCACCAGGGTTGGATGGTTTCTCCAGGAGGGCGGCTTCTTTGGAAATTGATCCCAACAAGGACACCTTCCCTGAAGCCCTGCAAGGGTAATGGAGGTCCAGGCAGGAAAGGGTTGTTTCAACCCAATGCGGTGCAGCTCCCAGCTGAGACTCGATGCCCAGGTCATTCTGGAGGACTGCCCAGGCCACATAAGGGGGTCCACAGGGTCTCTGGGGGTTATGGGTGTTATCCGGGAGCTCTCCGTGTCTGAGGCTTGCAGAGGGCAGGGTGTAGGTGATCAGGCTATGGAGTCAGGCTGTGAAGATTGAAGGATTGGGATCAACACATGGCCCTAAATGAGACCAACCTTGTTGAGCAATGGGCCATCCCAGTGGTGCCTCCTTGAGCATGGTGAGGATGGTGTGGCCTCGGTGGAGTTAGGTCAAGGCTGAGCTCTGGCAGTAACCTGCCAGTTGGCCCTGGGAATCGTGAGCTTTGGGCCAAGGAGCAGTCAGCGTTCTGCTGGAGGTCGTCCCTCCCAAAAGTGCAGTGGCCAGAGTGTGGCATCCTGTGGTAGAAGGTGTACTGTTCAAGGTCCTGGGCTGGCAGTTTGCTGCCCAGGCTGCTTCTGAGCCATGAGGTCACCTCCAAGGTGGCAGGGTCTTGAGCCAAAGGAAAGGAATGGACATCATGTGGCCCCTGTTTGGCCGAGCGTGGCCCAGCTCTGTGTTTGGGAGGTGTGGGTGTGTGAATGGGGCCCAGCAGAGAAGGCACCTGTCCCTGGGGACCCAGGCTGCAATTTCTGCTGTGAGCTTGTAGAAGGCGCCTGGACAGGTGCAGGCCATGTGACTGCCAGGACTGGAGTGGCATGTGGCATCCAGGCTACCGTCCTTGGTTTGCCGTGAGCTGGTTGGTGGCCCTGGCCCTGACCAGTGGAGGCAGTGTAGCCCAGAGTCGTGTGGGGGAGCTGGCGTGGGCAGTGGAGGTGCTCCAGGGGCCTACAGTAGGTGCAGCCTGGGTGTGTTGTTTGAATCTTGGGAGCCACCTGCCTTGTTTTTATAGGCTTCAGTGGCAGGCATGGGCCATGGATGCCCCACGATCATGACTGTCACTGTTTTACATGGATCCCATCTTATGAGTCCATGGAGAGAGCCTGTGTGAGCCAGTCCCCTTTCCTGGCTGGAGGTGTGAGGCCCTGTTTGGACACCTGTCCCCGACCCCTCCAGATGGTGACCCTGGGGGAAGATTTGTATCTAGCCGGCTGGACACGGGCCGATGTCCCTGATACAGGGGATCAGTCCCTGATGAGCTGAAACTGAGGCCTTTCCTGTGGTCCAGGATGCCTGCACTGAGCTGTAGTGAGCCAACAAGGTCCACCTAGATGCATGCAAGGAGTGTGTGGGGTGGGGCCATGGTTTGGGTCAATGATGAGAACGTTATATTGTCTGAAGAGAGGTGATGACTTTAAAATCATGCCCAATAGGATTATGCTGAGGCCCAGCTTAATGGGAATTTTGAAAGGATACTGGGATTTTTGGGTCCCCTGCAGGGCCATTGTGTTTTGGACTGAGACCTCAAGGCCCTGAACAGCATCTTGGGGGTGCCCCACACTGTCCCTGCTCCTTTGTGAGGCAGCCCAGTCTCACTACTTGGGCTTGGTGTGGGCGCTCCCATTACTTGGGGACAGGGCACCTTGCTGGGTCTTTCCTGAGCCCCCATTCTCCCCTTGTCTTTCAGTGAGCTCTTCTGCCCACAGAGCCCCTGGCATTGACCAGCATAGGTGAGTGGATCCTGCTGGGGTCAGGGGCCATTAGCGAGGCTGTGTTGGTTTGCCAAGGGTCACCCCTCAGCCACAAGGGTTTCCTCAGGAGCTGCCCTGAATCCCGGCCTGGGATGGGTCCTCCAGGAGCGAGGCTTCCTTGAGAATCAGACCCAAGGAGGATACCTTCCCTGAAAGGTCCAGGCAGTAAAGGGTTTTCTCAGCCTCACACAGGGCAGTGCCTCGCTAAGACTCACTGATCAGGTCAGGCCTCTAGGACATCCACGCCACATGAGAGGGGGCACCAGGGGTCCAGGGTGCCGCAAGGGTCAGGGGCTCTCAGACCCTGGTGAGGGGTGTGTGATTCAGCCCATGGGGTCAGGCTGCTGATTTTCAAGGATGACTCCGAACCCATGGCCTCGAAGGGGACGAAATATATTAAGCAATGGGCCATCCCAGTGGTGCCTGTTTGAGCCAAGTGTGGGACGGCACCATTTCGCTGAGGTTGGCTCTGGACTAGCTCTGGCTGGTGCCTGATGGTGCTGAGAGTTTTGGGCTTTGAACAAGGTTACAGCCCATGTCCCACTGGGGGTCCTCTCTTCCCTGTGGGTAAGTGACAATGTTGTGTCCTCCTGAGTGGGAAGGCCTGCTGTGGAAGGACCTGTCCGAGAAATTTTCCATCCAGGCTGCTTCTGAGTCTTGGGGTCATCTCCAGTGGGGTGGGGTCTTGGAAAGGATTAGGCATCACGTGTCCCCTGATTGGCCGAGTGTGGCGTGCTCTGTGCGTGGGAGCTGTTGTATGTGGCAGGGATGGGGACCCACCAGAGAGTCCACAAGGCCCTCGGGCCCCAGGCTGCGATTTCTGGTGTGTTGTACAGCGGGCCCTGGTTGCTCGTCCTCCACACCCATGGGCAGGCTGTGCGACTGCCAGTTCGGCAGCACCTGACATCCAGGCCAGCCTCCTTGGTTGGGAATTAGATGGTAGGTGACCCTGGCCCACACCCAGGGGCACAGCGCATCCCTTGGGTCATACAAGTGAACTTTCGTGGGCAGTTGAGGTGCTCAAGGTACCTGCAGTAGGGCATAGCAAAGGCACCTTGCCCAAGCCCAGTGACCCACCTGCCCTGTCATTCCAGGGTTTAGTCGTGGGGAGGGCCGGGGCTCCCCTATGTCCATGATATGTCAAGGTTTCACATCACGTGGGTCCACGGTGGGAGAGCAGGCATGACCAGGCACCTCCCCACCCCCTTCCCTGCATGGAGGTGTCAGGTTCCATTTCGACACCTGTCCACCTTCTGTCCTCTAGGTGGTGAGACTAAAGGAAAACTTTCATTGGGCCGTGCTGGACCTTGGTGAGTGCTGGTCAGCGACGTGCCCAGCCCTTGCTGTGCTGAAGTTCAGGCCTTTCCTGGCAGCCTGGTGTCCTGCACTGAGCTTGGTGAGCACATCTGGGTCCTGCCGGATGCATGTGTGGGGAGGGGGGTGCCCTGAGTTGGGTCAATGATGAGAACCTTATATTGTCTGAAGAGAGGTGATGACTTAAAAATCATGCTCAATAGGATTACGCTGAGGCCCAGCCTAATGAGAATTTTGAAAGGATGCTGGGATTTTCGGGTCCCCTGCAGGTCCATTGTGTTTTGGACTGAGACCTCAAGGCCCTGAACAGCATCTTGGGGGTGCCCCACACAGTCCCTGCTCCTTTGTGAGGCAGCCCAGTCTCACTACTTGGGCTTGGTGTGGACGCTCCCATTACTTGGGGACAGGGCACCTTGCTGGGTCTTTCCTGAGCCCCCATTCTCCCCTTGTCTTTCAGTGAGCTCTTCTGCCCACAGAGCCCCTGGCATTGACCAGCATAGGTGAGTGGATCCTGCTGGGGTCATGGGCCATTAGCGAAGCTGTGTGGGTGTGCCAAGGGTCACTGCTCAGCCACAAGGGTTTCCTCAGGAGCTGACCTGAATCCCGGCCTGGGATGGGTCCTCTAGGAGAGAGGCTTCCTTGGGAAACAGACCCAAGGAGGATACCTTCCCTGAAAGGTCCAGGCAGTAAAGGGTTTTTTCAGCCCCACGCAGGGCAGTGCCCCGCTAAGACTCAGTGCTCAGGTCAGGCCTCTAGGACGGCCACGCCACATGAGAGTGGGCACAAGGTGTCCAGGGTGCCACAAGGGTCGTGTGATTCAACCCATGTGGTCAGGCTGTTGATTCTCAAGGATTACTCCAAACCCATGGTCCCGCATGGGACCAAACATTAAGAAATGGGCCATCCCAGTGGTGCCTGTTTGACCCAAGACTGTGACGGCACTGTTTCCCTGAGATTGCCTCTGGACTAGCTCTGGCTGGTGCCTGATGGTGCTGAGAGTTTTGGGCTTTGAGCCACGGTTACAGCCCCTGTCCCACTGGTGGTCCCCTGTTTCCCGTTGATAAGTGGCAGCGTTGTGTCCTCCTGAGTGTGAAGGCCTGCTGTGGAAGGACCTGTCCCAGAAATTTTCAATCCAGCCTGCTTCTGAGTCTTGGGGTCATCTCTAGTGGGGTGGGGTCTTGGAAAGCATTAGACATCACGTGTCCCCTGATTGGCCGAGTATGGCGTGCTCTGTGCCTGGGAGCTGTGGTATGGGGCAGGTATGACGCCCCACCAGAGAATCCACAAGGCCCTGGGGCCCCAGGCTGCAATTTCTGCTGTGTTGTACAGCGGGCCCTGGGTGCTCGCCCTCCACACCCAGGGGCAGGCTGTGCGACTGCCAGTTCGGCAGCACCTGACATCCGGGCCAGCCTCCTTGGTTGGGCGTGAGATGGTAGGTGGCCCTGGCTCACACCCAGGGGAACAGCACATCCCTGAGGTCATACAAGTGTCCTTTTGTGGTGTGTTGAGGTCCTCAAGGTACCCGCAGTAGGGCATAGCCAGGGCAACTTGCCCAAGCCCAGTGACCCGCCTGCCCTGTCCTTCTAGGGTTTAGTCGTGGGGAGGGCCGGGGCTCCCCTAAGTCCATGACATGTCAAGGTTTCACATCACATGGGTCCATGGTGGGAGAGCAGGCATGAGCAAGCACCCCCCCCCGCCCTTCCCTGCATGGAGGTGTGAAGTTCCATTTCGACACATGTCCACCTTTTGTCCTCTAGGTGGTGACACTAAAGGAAGACTTTCATTGGGCCGTGCTGGACCTTGGTGAGTGACGGTCAGCGATGTGCCCAGCCCTTGCTGTGCTGAAGCTCAGGTGTTTCCTGGCGCCCTGATGTCCTGCACTGAGCTTGGTGAGCACATCTGGGTTCCGCTGGATGAATGTGTGAGGAGGGGGGTGCCCTGAGTTGGGTCAATGATGAGAACCTTATGTTGTCTGAAGAGAGGTGATGACTTAAAAATCATGCTCAATAGGATTACGCTGAGGCCCAGCCTAATGAGGATTTTGAAAGGATACTAGGATTTTCGGGTCACCAGCAGGGCCATTGTATTTTGGACTGAGACCTCAAGGCCCTGAACAGCATCTTGGGGATGCCCCACACAGTCCCTGCTCCTTTGTGAGGCAGCCCAGTCTCACTACATGAGCAGGCACCTCCCCACCCCCTTCCCTGCATGGAGGTGTGAGGTTCCATTTCGACACATGTCCACCATCTGTCCTCTAGATGGTGAGACAAAAGGAAGACTTTTTTTTTTTTTTTTGGGGGGGACGGAGTTTTGCTCTTGTTACCCAGGCTGGAGTGCAATGGGACGATCTCAACTCACCGCAACCTCCGCCTCCTGGGTTCTGGCAATTCTCCTGTCTCAGCCTCCTGAGTAGCTGGGATTATAGGCATGCACCACCATGCCCCCTAACTTTTTGTATTTTTAGTAGAGACAGGGTTTCACCATGTTGGCCAGGATGGTCTCGATCTCTCCACCTCGTGACCCACCCGCCTCAGCCTCCCAAAGTGCTGGGATTACAGGCTTGAGCCACCGCACCCGGCCCTAAAGGAAGACTTTCATTGGGCCCTGCTGGAATTTGGTGAGTGGCTGTCAGCCACGTGCCCAGCCCTTGCTGTGCTGAAGCTCAGGCCTTTCCTGGCGCCCTGGTGTCCTGCATTGAGCTTGGTGAGCATATCTGGGTCCCGCTGGATGCATGTGTGGGGAGGGGGGTGCCCTGGGTTGGGTCAATGATGAGAACCTTATGTTGTCTGAAGAGAGGTGATGACTTAAAAATCATGCTCAATAGGATTACGCTGAGGCCCAACCTAATGAGAATTTTGAAAGGATGCTGGGATTTTCGGGTCGCCTGAAGGGCCATTGTGTTTTGGACTGGACCGCAAGGCCCTGAACAGCATCTTGGGGGTGCCCCACACTGTCTCTGCTCCTTTGTGAGGCAGCCCAGTCTCACTACTTGGGCTTGGTATGGACGCTCCCATTACTTGGGGACAGGGCACCTTGCTGGGTCTTTCCTGAGCCCCCATTCTCCCCTTGTCTTTCAGTGAGCTCTTCTGCCCACAGAGCCCCTGGCATTGACCAGCATAGGTGAGTGGATCCTGCTGGGGTCACGGGCCATTAGCGAGGCTGTGTGGTTTTGCCAAGGGTTACCCCTCAGCCACAAGGGTTTCCTCCGGAGCTGACCTGAATCCCGGCCTGGGTGGGTCCTCCAGGAGCGAGGCTTCCTTGGGAATCAGACCCAAGGAGGATACCTTCCCTGAAAGGTCCAGGCAGTAAAGGGTTTTGTCAGACCCATGCAGGGCAGTGCCCCACTAAGACTCAGTGCTCAGGTCAGGCCTTTAGGATGGCCATGCCACATGAGAGTGGGCACAAGAGGTCCAGGGTGCCACAAGGATCGGGGGCTCTCCGACCCTGGGGAGGGGTGTGTGATTCAGCCCATGGGGTCATACTGCTGATTTTCAAGTATGACTCCAACCTCATGGGCCCGAATGGAACCAACCATATTAAGCAATGGGCCATCCCAGTGTTGCTAGTTTGAGGCAAGTGTGGGAGGGCACCATTACCCTGAGGTTGGCTCTGGACTAGCTCTGGCTGGTGCCTGATGGTGCTGAGAGTTTTGGGCTTTGAGCCAAGGTTACAGCCCATGTCCCACTGGGGGTCCTCTCTTCCCTGTGGGTAAGTGGCAGTGTTGTGTCCTCCTGAGTGGGAAGGCCTGCTGTGGAAGGACCTGTCCCAGAAATTTTCCATCGAGGCTGCTTCTGAGTCTTGGGGTCATCTCCATTGAGGTGGGGTCTCGGAAAGGATTAGACATCACGTGTCTCCTGATTGGCCGAGTGTGGCGTGCTCTGTGCGTGGGAGCTGTTGTATGGGGCAGGGTTGGGGACCTACCAGAGAGTCCACAAGGCCCTCGGGCCCCAGGCTGCTATTTCTGGTGTGTTGTACAGCGGGCCCTGGTTGCTCGTCCTCCACACCCAGGGGCAGGCTGTGCAACTGCCAGTTTGGCAGCACCTGACATCCGGGTGAGCCTCCTTGGTTGGGCGTGAGATGCTAGGTGGCCCTGGCCCACACCAGGGGAACAGTACATCCATGGGGTCGTACAAGTGAACTTTCGTGGGCAGTTGAGGTGCTCAAGGTACCTGCATTAGGGCATAGCCAGGGCAACTTGCCCAAGCCCAGTGACCCGCCTGCCCTGTCCTTCCAGGGTTCAGTCGTGGGGAGGGCCGGGGCACCCCTATGTCCATGACATATCAAGGTTTCACATCACGTGGGTCCACGGTGGGAGAGTAGGCATGAGCAGGCACCTCCCCACCCCCTTCCCTGCATGGAGTTGTCAGGTTCCATTTTGACACATGTCCACCTTCTGTCCTTTAGATGGTGAGACTAAAGGAAGACTTTGATTGGGCCGTGCTGGACCTTGGTAAGTGGCGGTCAGCCTCGTGCCCAGCCCTTGTTGTAGTGATGCTCAGGTCTTTCCTGGCGCCCTGGTGTCCAGCACTGAGCTTGGTGAACACATCTGGGTCCCGCCGGATGCATGTGTGGGGAGGGGGCTGCCCTGAGTTGGGTCAATGATGAGAACCTTATGTTGTCTGAAGAGAGGTGATGACTTAAAAATCATGCTCAATAGGATTACGCTGAGGCCCAGCCTAATGAGAATTTTGAAAGGATGCTGGGATTTTCGGGTCCTCTGCAGGTCCATTGTGTTTTGGACTGAGACCTCAAGGCCCTGAACAGCATCTTGGGGGTGCCCCACACTGCCTCTGCTCCTTTGTGAGGCAGCCCAGTCTCACTACTTGGGCTTGGTGTGGACGCTCCCATTACTTGGGGACAGGGCACCTTGCTGGGTCTTTCCTGAGCCCCCATTCTCCCCTTGTCTTTCAGTGAGCTCTTCTGCCCACAGAGCCCCTGGCATTGAGCAGCATAGGTGAGTGGATCCTGCTGGGGTCAGGGGCCATTAGCGAGGCTGTGTGGGTTTGCCAAGGGTCACTTCTCAGCCACAAGGGTTTCCTCAGGAGCTGACCTGAATCCTGGCCTGGTGTGCATCCCCCAGGAGGAAAACTTCCTTGGGAGTCAGACCCACGGAGGATACCTTTTCTGAATGGTCCAGGGAGAAAAGGGTTTTGTCAGCCCCACGCAGGGCAGTGCCCCGCTAAGACTTACTGATCAGGTCAGGCCTCTAGGACGGCCACGCCACGTGAGAGGGGGCCGAAGGGGTGCAGGGTGTCGCAAGGATCGAGGGCTCTCCGACCAAGGGGTGGGGTGTGTGATTCAGCCCGTGGGGTCATGCTGCTGATTTTCAAGGATGACTCCTTACCCACGGCCCCGAATGGGACCAACCATATTAAGAAATGAGCCATCCCAGTGGTGGCTTTTTGAGTGAAGTGTGGGACGGCACGATTACCCTGAGGTTGGCTCTCGAGTAACTCTGGCTGGTGCCTGATGGTGCTTAGAGTTTTGGGCTTTGAGCCAAGGTTACAGCCCATGTCCCACTGGGGGTCCTCTCTTCCCTGTGGGTAAGTGGCAGTGTTGTATCCTCCTGAGTGGGAAGGCCTGCTCTGGAAGTACGTGTCCCAGAAATTTTCCGTCCATCCTGCTTCTGAGTCTTAGGGTCATCTCCAGTGGGGTGGGGTCTCAGAAAGGATTAGACATCACGTGTCCCCTGATTGGCCAAGTGTGGCGTGCTCTGTGCGTGGGAGCTGTTGTATGGGGCAGGGATGGGGACCCACCAGAGCATCCACGAGGCCCTGGGGCCCCAGGCTGCGATTTCTGGTGTGTTGTGCAGCGGGCCCTGGGTGCTCGTCCTCCACACACGGGCATGCTGTGCGACTGCCAGTTTGGCAGCACCTGACATCCGGGTGAGCCTCCTTGGTTGGGCGTGAGATGCTAGGTGGCCCTGGCCCACACCAGGGGAACAGTACATCCATGGGGTCGTACAAGTGAACTTTTGTGGGCAGTTGAGGTGCTCAAGGTTCCTGCAGTAGGGCATAGCCAGGGCAACTTGCCCAAGCCCAGTGACCCGCCTGCCCTGTCCTTCCAGGGTTCAGTCGTGGGGAGGGCCGGGGCACCCCTATGTCCATGACATATCAAGGTTTCACATCACGTGGGTCCACGGTGGGAGAGTAGGCATGAGCAGGCACCTCCCCACCCCCTTCCCTGCATGGACGTGTCAGGTTCCATTTTGACACATGTCTACCTTCTGTCCTTTAGATGGTGAGACTAAAGGAAGACTTTCATTGGGCCGTGCTGGACCCTGGTAAGTGGCGGTCAGCCACGTGCCCAGCCCTTGTTGTAGTGATGCTCAGGTCTTTCCTGGCGCCCTGGTGTCCAGCACTGAGCTTGGTGAACACATCTGGGTCCCGCCGGATGCATGTGTGGGGCGGGGGGTGCCCTGAGTTGGGTCAATGATGAGAACCTTATATTGTCTGAAGAGAGGTGATGACTTAAAAGTCATGCTCAATAGGATTACGCTGAGGCCCAGCCTAATGAGAATTTTCAAAGGATGCTGGTATTTTCAGGTCCCCTGCCGGGCCATTGTGTTTTGGACTGAGACCTCAAGGCCCTGCACAGCATCTTGGGTGTGCCCCACACTGTCTCTGCTCCTTTGTGAGGCAGCCCAGTCTCACTACTTGGGCTTGGTGTGGACGCTCCCATTACTTGGGGACAGGGCACCTTGCTGGGTCTTTCCTGAGCCCCGACTCTCCCCTTGTCTTTCAGTGAGCTCTTCTGCCCACAGAGCCCCTGGCATTGACAAGCACAGGTGAGTGGATCCTGCTGGGGTCATGGGCCATTAGCGAGGCTGTGTGGGCTAGCCAAGGGGCACCCCTCAGCCACCAGGGTTTCCTCAGGAGCTGCCCTGAATCTCGTCCTGGGATGGGTCCTCCAGGAGGGAGGCTTCCTTGGCAGTTAGACCCAAGTGGGATACCTTCCCTGAAAGGTCCACTCAGTAAAGGGTTTTCGCAGCCCCACTCAGGGCAGTGCCCCGCTAAGACTCAGTGCTCAGGTCAGGCCTTTAGGACATCCACGCCACATGAGAGTGGGCACAAGGGGTCCAGGGTGCCACAAGGTTCGGGGACTGTCTGACACTGGGGAGGGGTGTGTGATTCAGCCCATGGGGTCATGCTGCTGATTTTCAAGGATGACTCCAAACCCATGGTCCCTAATGCGATGAAACATATTAAGCAATGGGCCATCCCCGTGGTGCCTGTTTGAGCGAAATGTGGAACAGCACCGTTTCTGTGAGATTGGCTCTGGACTAGCTCTGGCTGGTGCCTGATGGTGCTTAGAGTTTTGGGCTTTGAGCCAAGGTTACAGCCCATGTCCCACTGGGGGTCCTCTCTTCCCTGTGGGTAAGTGGCAGTGTTGTATCCTCCTGAGTGGGAAGGCCTGCTCTGGAAGGACGTGTCCCAGAAATTTTCCATCCAGGCTGCTTCTGAGTCTTGGGGTCATCTCCAGTGGGGTGGGGTCTCGGAAATGATTAGACATCAAGTGTCCCCTGATTGACCGAGTGTGGCGTGCTCTGTGCGTGGGAGCTGTTGTATGTGGCAGGGATAGGGATCCACCACAGAATCCACGAGGACATGGGGCCCCGGGCTGCGATTTCTGGTGTGTTGTACAGCGGGCCCTGGTTGCTCGTCCTCCACACCCAGGGGCAGGCTGTGCGACTGCCAGTTCGGCAGCACCTGACATCCGGGCCAGCCTCCTTGGTTGGGTGTGAGATGGTAGGTGGCCCTGGCTCACACCCAGGGGAACAGCACATCCCTGAGGTCATACAAGTGTACTTTTTGTGGTGTGTTGAGGTCCTCAAGGTACCTGCAGTAGGGCATAGCCAGGGCAACTTGCCCAAGCCCAGTGACCCACCTGCCCTGTTATTCCAGGGTTTAGTCGTAGGAAGGGCTGGGGCTTCCCTACGTCCATGACATGTCAAGGTTTCACATTACATGGGTCCACGGTGGGAGAGTAGGCATGAGCAGGCACCTCCCCACCCCCTTCCCTGCATGGAGGTGTGAGGTTCCATATCGACACATGTCCACCATCTGTCCTCTAGATGGTGAGACAAAAGGAAGACTTTTTTTTTTTTTTTTTTTTTTTTGGGACGGAGTTTTGCTCTTGTTACCCAGGCTGGAGTGCAATGGGACGATCTCGACTCACCGCAACCTCCGCCTCCTGGGTTCTGGCAGTTCTCCTGTCTCAGCCTCCTGAGTAGCTGGGATTATAGGCATGCACCACCATGCCCCCTAACTTTTTGTATTTTTAGTAGAGACAGGGTTTCACCATGTTGGCCAGGATGGTCTCGATCTCTCCACCTCGTGACCCACCCGCCTCGGCCTCCCAAAGTGCTGGGATTACAGGCTTGAGCCACCGCACCCGGCCCTAAAGGAAGACTTTCATTGGGCCCTGCTGGAATTTGGTGAGTGGCTGTCAGCCACGTGCCCAGCCCTTGCTGTGCTGAAGCTCAGGCCTCTCCTGGCGCCCTGGTGTCCTGCATTGAGCTTGGTGAGCATATCTGGGTCCCGCTGGATGCATGTGTGGGGAGGGGGGTGCCCTGGGTTGGGTCAATGATGAGAACCTTATGTTGTCTGAAGAGAGGTGATGACTTAAAAATCATGCTCAATAGGATTACTCTGAGGCCCAGCCTAGATGTGAATTTTGAAAGGATGCTGGGATTTTCGGGTCGCCTGAAGGGCCATTGTGTTTTGGACTGGACCGCAAGGCCCTGAACAGCATCTTGGGGGTGCCCCACACTGCCTCTGCTCCTTTGTGAGGCAGCCCAGTCTCACTACTTGGGCTTGGTGTGGACGCTCCCATTACTTGGGGACAGGGCACCTTGCTGGGTCTTTCCTGAGCCCCCATTCTCCCCTTGTCTTTCAGTGAGCTCTTCTGCCCACAGAGCCCCTGGCATTGACCAGCATAGGTGAGTGGATCCTGCTGGGGTCACGGGCCATTAGCGAGGCTGTGTGGTTTTGCCAAGGGTTACCCCTCAGCCACAAGGGTTTCCTCCGGAGCTGACCTGAATCCCGGCCTGGGTGGGTCCTCCAGGAGCGAGGCTTCCTTGGGAATCAGACCCAAGGAGGATACCTTCCCTGAAAGGTCCAGGCAGTAAAGGGTTTTGTCAGACCCATGCAGGGCAGTGCCCCACTAAGACTCAGTGCTCAGGTCAGGCCTTTAGGATGGCCATGCCACATGAGAGTGGGCACAAGAGGTCCAGGGTGCCACAAGGATCGGGGGCTCTCCGACCCTGGGGAGGGGTGTGTGATTCAGCCCATGGGGTCATACTGCTGATTTTCAAGTATGACTCCAACCTCATGGGCCCGAATGGAACCAACCATATTAAGCAATGGGCCATCCCAGTGTTGCTAGTTTGAGGCAAGTGTGGGAGGGCACCATTACCCTGAAGTTGGCTCTGGACTAGCTCTGGCTGGTGCCTGATGGTGCTGAGAGTTTTGGGCTTTGAGCCAAGGTTACAGCCCATGTCCCACTGGGGGTCCTCTCTTCCCTGTGGGTAAGTGGCAGTGTTGTGTCCTCCTGAGTGGGAAGGCCTGCTGTGGAAGGACCTGTCCCAGAAATTTTCCATCGAGGCTGCTTCTGAGTCTTGGGGTCATCTCCATTGAGGTGGGGTCTCGGAAAGGATTAGACATCACGTGTCTCCTGATTGGCCGAGTGTGGCGTGCTCTGTGCGTGGGAGCTGTTGTATGGGGCAGGGTTGGGGATCTACCAGAGAGTCCCCAAGGCCCTTGGGTCCCGGGCTGCTATTTCTGGTGTGTTGTACAGCGGGCCCTGGTTGCTCGTCCTCCACACCCAGGGGCAGGCTGTGCAACTGCCAGTTTGGCAGCACCTGACATCCGGGTGAGCCTCCTTGGTTGGGCGTGAGATGCTAGGTGGCCCTGGCCCACACCAGGGGAACAGTACATCCATGGGGTCGTACAAGTGAACTTTCGTGGGCAGTTGAGGTGCTCAAGGTTCCTGCAGTAGGGCATAGCCAGGGCAACTTGCCCAAGCCCAGTGACCCGCCTGCCCTGTCCTTCCAGGGTTCAGTCGTGGGGAGGGCCGGGGCACCCCTATGTCCATGACATATCAAGGTTTCACATCACGTGGGTCCACGGTGGGAGAGTAGGCATGAGCAGGCACCTCCCCACCCCCTTCCCTGCATGGACGTGTCAGGTTCCATTTCGACACATGTCTACCTTCTGTCCTTTAGATGGTGAGACTAAAGGAAGACTTTCATTGGGCCGTGCTGGACCCTGGTAAGTGGCGGTCAGCCACGTGCCCAGCCCTTGTTGTGATGCTTAGGTCTTTCCTGGCGCCCTGGTGTCCAGCACTGAGCTTGGTGAACACATCTGGGTCCCGCCGGATGCACGTGTGGGGAGGGGGGTGCCCTGAGTTGGGTCAATGATGAGAACCTTATATTGTCTGAAGAGAGGTGATGACTTAAAAGTCATGCTCAATAGGATTACGCTGAGGCCCAGCCTAGATGTGAATTTTGAAAGGATGCTGGGATTTTTGGGTCGCCTGAAGGGCCATTGTGTTTTGGACTGGACCGCAAGGCCCTGAACAGCATCTTGGGGGTGCCCCACACTGCCTCTGCTCCTTTGTGAGGCAGCCCAGTCTCACTACTTGGGCTTGGTGTGGACGCTCCCATTACTTGGGGACAGGGCACCTTGCTGGGTCTTTCCTGAGCCCCCATTCTCCCCTTGTCTTTCAGTGAGCTCTTCTGCCCACAGAGCCCCTGGCATTGAGCAGCATAGGTGAGTGGATCCTGCTGGGGTCACGGGCCATTAGCGAGGCTGTGTGGTTTTGCCAAGGGTTACCCCTCAGCCGCATGGGTTTCCTCCGGAGCTGACCTGAATCCCGGCCTGGGTGGGTCCTCCAGGAGCGAGGCTTCCTTGGGAATCAGACCCAAGGAGGATACCTTCCCTGAAAGGTCCAGGCAGTAAAGGGTTTTGTCAGACCCACGCGGGGCAGTGCCCCACTAAGACTCAGTGCTCAGGTCAGGCCTTTAGGATGGCCATGCCACATGAGAGTGGGCACAAGAGGTCCAGGGTGCCACAAGGACTGGGGGCTCTCCGACCCTGGGGAGGGGTGTGTGATTCAGCCCATGGGGTCATACTGCTGATTTTCAAGTATGACTCCAAACTCATGGCCCCGAATGGAACCAACCATATTAAGCAATGGGCCATCCCAGTGTTGCTAGTTTGAGGCAAGTGTGGGAGGGCACCATTACCCTGAGGTTGGCTCTGGACTAGCTCTGGCTGGTGCCTGATGGTGCTGAGAGTTTTGGACTTTGAGCCAAGGTTACAGCCCATGTCCCACTGGGGGTCCTCTCTTCCCTGTGGGTAAGTGACAGTGTTGTGTCCTCCTGAGTGGGAAGGCCTGCTGTGGAAGGACCTGTCCCAGAAATTTTCCATCGAGGCTGCTTCTGAGTCTTGGGGTCATCTCCATTGAGGTGGGGTCTCGGAAAGGATTAGACATCACGTGTCTCCTGATTGGCCGAGTGTGGCGTGCTCTGTGCGTGGGAGCTGTTGTATGGGGCAGGGTTGGGGACCTACCAGAGAGTCCCCAAGGCTCTTGGGCCCCGGGCTGCTATTTCTGGTGTGTTGTACAGCGGGCCCTGGTTGCTCGTCCTCCACACCCAGGGGCAGGCTGTGCAACTGCCAGTTTGGCAGCACCTGACATCCGGGTGAGCCTCCTTGGTTGGGCGTGAGATGCTAGGTGGCCCTGGCCCACACCAGGGGAACAGTACATCCATGGGGTCGTACAAGTGAACTTTCGTGGGCAGTTGAGGTGCTCAAGGTTCCTGCAGTAGGGCATAGCCAGGGCAACTTGCCCAAGCCCAGTGACCCGCCTGCCCTGTCCTTCCAGGGTTCAGTCGTGGGGAGGGCCGGGGCACCCCTATGTCCATGACATATCAAGGTTTCACATCACGTGGGTCCACGGTGGGAGAGTAGGCATGAGCAGGCACCTCCCCACCCCCTTCCCTGCATGGACGTGTCAGGTTCCATTTCGACACATGTCTACCTTCTGTCCTTTAGATGGTGAGACTAAAGGAAGACTTTGATTGGGCCGTGCTGGACCTTGGTAAGTGGCGGTCAGCCTCGTGCCCAGCCCTTGTTGTAGTGATGCTCAGGTCTTTCCTGGCGCCCTGGTGTCCAGCACTGAGCTTGGTGAACACATCTGGGTCCCGCCGGATGCATGTGTGGGGAGGGGGCTGCCCTGAGTTGGGTCAATGATGAGAACCTTACGTTGTCTGAAGAGAGGTGATGACTTAAAAATCATGCTCAATAGGATTACGCTGAGGCCCAGCCTAATGAGAATTTTGAAAGGATGCTGGGATTTTCGGGTCCTCTGCAGGTCCATTGTGTTTTGGACTGAGACCTCAAGGCCCTGAACAGCATCTTGGGGGTGCCCCACACTGTCTCTGCTCCTTTGTGAGGCAGCCCAGTCTCACTACTTGGGCTTGGTGTGGACGCTCCCATTACTTGGGGACAGGGCACCTTGCTGGGTCTTTCCTGAGCCCCCATTCTCCCCTTGTCTTTCAGTGAGCTCTTCTGCCCACAGAGCCCCTGGCATTGAGCAGCATAGGTGAGTGGATCCTGCTGGGGTCAGGGGCCATTAGCGAGGCTGTGTGGGTTTGCCAAGGGTCACTTCTCAGCCACAAGGGTTTCCTCAGGAGCTGACCTGAATCCTGGCCTGGTGTGCATCCCCCAGGAGGAAAACTTCCTTGGGAGTCAGACCCACGGAGGATACCTTTTCTGAATGGTCCAGGGAGAAAAGGGTTTTGTCAGCCCCACGCAGGGCAGTGCCCCGCTAAGACTTACTGATCAGGTCAGGCCTCTAGGACGGCCACGCCACGTGAGAGGGGGCCGAAGGGGTGCAGGGTGTCGCAAGGATCGAGGGCTCTCCGACCAAGGGGTGGGGTGTGTGATTCAGCCCGTGGGGTCATGCTGCTGATTTTCAAGGATGACTCCTTACCCACGGCCCCGAATGGGACCAACCATATTAAGAAATGAGCCATCCCAGTGGTGGCTTTTTGAGTGAAGTGTGGGACGGCACGATTACCCTGAGGTTGGCTCTCGAGTAACTCTGGCTGGTGCCTGATGGTGCTTAGAGTTTTGGGCTTTGAGCCAAGGTTACAGCCCATGTCCCACTGGGGGTCCTCTCTTCCCTGTGGGTAAGTGGCAGTGTTGTATCCTCCTGAGTGGGAAGGCCTGCTCTGGAAGTACGTGTCCCAGAAATTTTCCGTCCATCCTGCTTCTGAGTCTTAGGGTCATCTCCAGTGGGGTGGGGTCTCAGAAAGGATTAGACATCATGTGTCCCCTGATTGGCCAAGTGTGGCGTGCTCTGTGCGTGGGAGCTGTTGTATGGGGCAGGGATGGGGACCCACCAGAGCATCCACGAGGCCCTGGGGCCCCAGGCTGCGATTTCTGGTGTGTTGTGCAGCGGGCCCTGGGTGCTCGTCCTCCACACACGGGCATGCTGTGCGACTGCCAGTTTGGCAGCACCTGACATCCGGGTGAGCCTCCTTGGTTGGGCGTGAGATGCTAGGTGGCCCTGGCCCACACCAGGGGAACAGTACATCCATGGGGTCGTACAAGTGAACTTTCGTGGGCAGTTGAGGTGCTCAAGGTTCCTGCAGTAGGGCATAGCCAGGGCAACTTGCCCAAGCCCAGTGACCCGCCTGCCCTGTCCTTCCAGGGTTCAGTCGTGGGGAGGGCCGGGGCACCCCTATGTCCATGACATATCAAGGTTTCACATCACGTGGGTCCACGGTGGGAGAGTAGGCATGAGCAGGCACCTCCCCACCCCCTTCCCTGCATGGACGTGTCAGGTTCCATTTTGACACATGTCTACCTTCTGTCCTTTAGATGGTGAGACTAAAGGAAGACTTTCATTGGGCCGTGCTGGACCCTGGTAAGTGGCGGTCAGCCACGTGCCCAGCCCTTGTTGTAGTGATGCTCAGGTCTTTCCTGGCGCCCTGGTGTCCAGCACTGAGCTTGGTGAACACATCTGGGTCCCGCCGGATGCATGTGTGGGGCGGGGGGTGCCCTGAGTTGGGTCAATGATGAGAACCTTATATTGTCTGAAGAGAGGTGATGACTTAAAAGTCATGCTCAATAGGATTACGCTGAGGCCCAGCCTAATGAGAATTTTCAAAGGATGCTGGTATTTTCAGGTCCCCTGCCGGGCCATTGTGTTTTGGACTGAGACCTCAAGGCCCTGAACAGCATCTTGGGTGTGCCCCACACTGTCTCTGCTCCTTTGTGAGGCAGCCCAGTCTCACTACTTGGGCTTGGTGTGGACGCTCCCATTACTTGGGGACAGGGCACCTTGCTGGGTCTTTCCTGAGCCCCGACTCTCCCCTTGTCTTTCAGTGAGCTCTTCTGCCCACAGAGCCCCTGGCATTGACAAGCACAGGTGAGTGGATCCTGCTGGGGTCATGGGCCATTAGCGAGGCTGTGTGGGCTAGCCAAGGGGCACCCCTCAGCCACCAGGGTTTCCTCAGGAGCTGCCCTGAATCTCGTCCTGGGATGGGTCCTCCAGGAGGGAGGCTTCCTTGGCAGTTAGACCCAAGTGGGATACCTTCCCTGAAAGGTCCACTCAGTAAAGGGTTTTCGCAGCCCCACTCAGGGCAGTGCCCCGCTAAGACTCAGTGCTCAGGTCAGGCCTTTAGGACATCCACGCCACATGAGAGTGGGCACAAGGGGTCCAGGGTGCCACAAGGTTCGGGGACTGTCTGACACTGGGGAGGGGTGTGTGATTCAGCCCATGGGGTCATGCTGCTGATTTTCAAGGATGACTCCAAACCCATGGTCCCTAATGCGATGAAACATATTAAGCAATGGGCCATCCCCGTGGTGCCTGTTTGAGCGAAATGTGGAACAGCACCGTTTCTGTGAGATTGGCTCTGGACTAGCTCTGGCTGGTGCCTGATGGTGCTTAGAGTTTTGGGCTTTGAGCCAAGGTTACAGCCCATGTCCCACTGGGGGTCCTCTCTTCCCTGTGGGTAAGTGGCAGTGTTGTATCCTCCTGAGTGGGAAGGCCTGCTCTGGAAGGATGTGTCCCAGAAATTTTCCATCCAGGCTGCTTCTGAGTCTTGGGGTGGGGTCTCGGAAATGATTAGACATCAAGTGTCCCCTGATTGGCCGAGTGTGGCGTGCTCTGTGCGTGGGAGCTGTTGTATGTGGCAGGGATAGGGATCCACCACAGAATCCACGAGGACATGGGGCCCCGGGCTGCGATTTCTGGTGTGTTGTACAGCGGGCCCTGGTTGCTCGTCCTCCACACCCAGGGGCAGGCTGTGCGACTGCCAGTTCGGCAGCACCTGACATCCGGGCCAGCCTCCTTGGTTGGGTGTGAGATGGTAGGTGGCCCTGGCTCACACCCAGGGGAACAGCACATCCCTGAGGTCATACAAGTGTACTTTTTGTGGTGTGTTGAGGTCCTCAAGGTACCTGCAGTAGGGCATAGCCAGGGCAACTTGCCCAAGCCCAGTGACCCACCTGCCCTGTTATTCCAGGGTTTAGTCGTAGGAAGGGCTGGGGCTTCCCTACGTCCATGACATGTCAAGGTTTCACATTACATGGGTCCACGGTGGGAGAGTAGGCATGAGCAGGCACCTCCCCACCCCCTTCCCTGCATGGAGGTGTGAGGTTCCATATCGACACATGTCCACCATCTGTCCTCTAGATGGTGAGACAAAAGGAAGACTTTTTTTTTTTTTTTTTTTTTTTTTAGGACGGAGTTTTGCTCTTGTTACCCAGGCTGGAGTGCAATGGGACGATCTCGACTCACCGCAACCTCCGCCTCCTGGGTTCTGGCAGTTCTCCTGTCTCAGCCTCCTGAGTAGCTGGGATTATAGGCATGCACCACCATGCCCCCTAACTTTTTGTATTTTTAGTAGAGACAGGGTTTCACCATGTTGGCCAGGATGGTCTCGATCTCTCCACCTCGTGACCCACCCGCCTCGGCCTCCCAAAGTGCTGGGATTACAGGCTTGAGCCACCGCACCCGGCCCTAAAGGAAGACTTTCATTGGGCCCTGCTGGAATTTGGTGAGTGGCTGTCAGCCACGTGCCCAGCCCTTGCTGTGCTGAAGCTCAGGCCTCTCCTGGCGCCCTGGTGTCCTGCATTGAGCTTGGTGAGCATATCTGGGTCCCGCTGGATGCATGTGTGGGGAGGGGGGTGCCCTGGGTTGGGTCAATGATGAGAACCTTATGTTGTCTGAAGAGAGGTGATGACTTAAAAATCATGCTCAATAGGATTACGCTGAGGCCCAGCCTAGATGTGAATTTTGAAAGGATGCTGGGATTTTCGGGTCGCCTGAAGGGCCATTGTGTTTTGGACTGGACCGCAAGGCCCTGAACAGCATCTTGGGGGTGCCCCACACTGCCTCTGCTCCTTTGTGAGGCAGCCCAGTCTCACTACTTGGGCTTGGTGTGGACGCTCCCATTACTTGGGGACAGGGCACCTTGCTGGGTCTTTCCTGAGCCCCCATTCTCCCCTTGTCTTTCAGTGAGCTCTTCTGCCCACAGAGCCCCTGGCATTGACCAGCATAGGTGAGTGGATCCTGCTGGGGTCACGGGCCATTAGCGAGGCTGTGTGGTTTTGCCAAGGGTTACCCCTCAGCCACAAGGGTTTCCTCCGGAGCTGACCTGAATCCCGGCCTGGGTGGGTCCTCCAGGAGCGAGGCTTCCTTGGGAATCAGACCCAAGGAGGATACCTTCCCTGAAAGGTCCAGGCAGTAAAGGGTTTTGTCAGACCCATGCAGGGCAGTGCCCCACTAAGACTCAGTGCTCAGGTCAGGCCTTTAGGATGGCCATGCCACATGAGAGTGGGCACAAGAGGTCCAGGGTGCCACAAGGATCGGGGGCTCTCCGACCCTGGGGAGGGGTGTGTGATTCAGCCCATGGGGTCATACTGCTGATTTTCAAGTATGACTCCAACCTCATGGGCCCGAATGGAACCAACCATATTAAGCAATGGGCCATCCCAGTGTTGCTAGTTTGAGGCAAGTGTGGGAGGGCACCATTACCCTGAAGTTGGCTCTGGACTAGCTCTGGCTGGTGCCTGATGGTGCTGAGAGTTTTGGGCTTTGAGCCAAGGTTACAGCCCATGTCCCACTGGGGGTCCTCTCTTCCCTGTGGGTAAGTGGCAGTGTTGTGTCCTCCTGAGTGGGAAGGCCTGCTGTGGAAGGACCTGTCCCAGAAATTTTCCATCGAGGCTGCTTCTGAGTCTTGGGGTCATCTCCATTGAGGTGGGGTCTCGGAAAGGATTAGACATCACGTGTCTCCTGATTGGCCGAGTGTGGCGTGCTCTGTGCGTGGGAGCTGTTGTATGGGGCAGGGTTGGGGACCTACCAGAGAGTCCCCAAGGCCCTTGGGTCCCGGGCTGCTATTTCTGGTGTGTTGTACAGCGGGCCCTGGTTGCTCGTCCTCCACACCCAGGGGCAGGCTGTGCAACTGCCAGTTTGGCAGCACCTGACATCCGGGTGAGCCTCCTTGGTTGGGCGTGAGATGCTAGGTGGCCCTGGCCCACACCAGGGGAACAGTACATCCATGGGGTCGTACAAGTGAACTTTCGTGGGCAGTTGAGGTGCTCAAGGTTCCTGCAGTAGGGCATAGCCAGGGCAACTTGCCCAAGCCCAGTGACCCGCCTGCCCTGTCCTTCCAGGGTTCAGTCGTGGGGAGGGCCGGGGCACCCCTATGTCCATGACATATCAAGGTTTCACATCACGTGGGTCCACGGTGGGAGAGTAGGCATGAGCAGGCACCTCCCCACCCCCTTCCCTGCATGGACGTGTCAGGTTCCATTTCGACACATGTCTACCTTCTGTCCTTTAGATGGTGAGACTAAAGGAAGACTTTCATTGGGCCGTGCTGGACCCTGGTAAGTGGCGGTCAGCCACGTGCCCAGCCCTTGTTGTGATGCTCAGGTCTTTCCTGGCGCCCTGGTGTCCAGCACTGAGCTTGGTGAACACATCTGGGTCCCGCCGGATGCACGTGTGGGGAGGGGGGTGCCCTGAGTTGGGTCAATGATGAGAACCTTATATTGTCTGAAGAGAGGTGATGACTTAAAAGTCATGCTCAATAGGATTACGCTGAGGCCCAGCCTAGATGTGAATTTTGAAAGGATGCTGGGATTTTTGGGTCGCCTGAAGGGCCATTGTGTTTTGGACTGGACCGCAAGGCCCTGAACAGCATCTTGGGGGTGCCCCACACTGCCTCTGCTCCTTTGTGAGGCAGCCCAGTCTCACTACTTGGGCTTGGTGTGGACGCTCCCATTACTTGGGGACAGGGCACCTTGCTGGGTCTTTCCTGAGCCCCGACTCTCCCCTTGTCTTTCAGTGAGCTCTTCTGCCCACAGAGCCCCTGGCATTGACAAGCACAGGTGAGTGGATCCTGCTGGGGTCATGGGCCATTAGCGAGGCTGTGTGGGCTAGCCAAGGGGCACCCCTCAGCCACCAGGGTTTCCTCAGGAGCTGCCCTGAATCTCGTCCTGGGATGGGTCCTCCAGGAGGGAGGCTTCCTTGGCAGTTAGACCCAAGTGGGATACCTTCCCTGAAAGGTCCACTCAGTAAAGGGTTTTCGCAGCCCCACTCAGGGCAGTGCCCTGCTAAGACTCAGTGCTCAGGTCAGGCCTTTAGGACATCCACGCCACATGAGAGTGGGCACAAGGGGTCCAGGGTGCCACAAGGTTCGGGGACTGTCTGACACTGGGGAGGGGTGTGTGATTCAGCCCATGGGGTCATGCTGCTGATTTTCAAGGATGACTCCAAACCCATGGTCCCTAATGCGATGAAACATATTAAGCAATGGGCCATCCCCGTGGTGCCTGTTTGAGCGAAGTGTGGAACAGCATCGTTTCTGTGAGATTGGCTCTGGACTAGCTCTGGCTGGTGCCTGATGGTGCTTAGAGTTTTGAGCTTTGAGCCAAGGTTACAGACCATGTCCCACTGGGGGTCCTCTCTTCCCTGTGGGTAAGTGGCAGTGTTGTATCCTCCTGAGTGGGAAGGCCTGCTCTGGAAGGACGTGTCCCAGAAATTTTCCATCCAGGCTGCTTCTGAGTCTTGGGGTCATCTCCAGTGGGGTGGGGTCTCGGAAATGATTAGACATCGAGTGTCCCCTGATTGGCCGAGTGTGGCGTGCTCTGTGCGTGGGAGCTGTTGTATGTGGCAGGGATAGGGATCCACCACAGAATCCACGAGGACATGGGGCCCCGGGCTGCGATTTCTGGTGTGTTGTACAGCGGGCCCTGGTTGCTCGTCCTCCACACCCAGGGGCAGGCTGTGCGACTGCCAGTTCGGCAGCACCTGACATCCGGGCCAGCCTCCTTGGTTGGGCGTGATTTGGTAGGTGGCCCTGGCTCACACCCAGGGGAACAGCACATCCCTGAGGTCATACAAGTGTACTCTTTGTGGTGTGTTGAGGTCCTCAAGGTACCTGCAGTAGGGCATAGCCAGGGCAACTTGCCCAAGCCCAGTGACCCGCCTGCCCTGTCCTTCCAGGGTTCAGTCGTGGGGAGGGCCGGGGCACCCCTATGTCCATGACATATCAAGGTTTCACATCACGTGGGTCCACGGTGGGAGAGTAGGCATGAGCAGGCACCTCCCCACCCCCTTCCCTGCATGGAGTTGTCAGGTTCCATTTTGACACATGTCCACCTTCTGTCCTTTAGATGGTGAGACTAAAGGAAGACTTTGATTGGGCCGTGCTGGACCTTGGTAAGTGGCGGTCAGCCTCGTGCCCAGCCCTTGTTGTGATGCTCAGGTCTTTCCTGGCGCCCTGGTGTCCAGCACTGAGCTTGGTGAACACATCTGGGTCCCGCCGGATGCATGTGTGGGGAGGGGGCTGCCCTGAGTTGGGTCAATGATGAGAACCTTACGTTGTCTGAAGAGAGGTGATGACTTAAAAATCATGCTCAATAGGATTACGCTGAGGCCCAGCCTAGGGGAGAATGTTGGAAGGATGCTGGGATTTTCGGGTCCCCTGCAGGTCCATTGTGTTTTGGACTGAGACCTCAAGGCCCTGAACAGCATCTTGGGGTTGCCCCACACTGCCTCTACTCCTTTGTGAGGCAGCCCAGTCTCACTACTTGGGCTTGGTGTGGACGCTCCCATTACTTGGGGACAGGGCACCTTGCTGGGTCTTTCCTGAGCCCCCATTCTCCCCTTGTCTTTCAGTGAGCTCTTCTGCCCACAGAGCCCCTGGCATTGAGCAGCATAGGTGAGTGGATCCTGCTGGGGTCACGGGCCATTAGCGAGGCTGTGTGGTTTTGCCAAGGGTTACCCCTCAGCCGCATGGGTTTCCTCCGGAGCTGACCTGAATCCCGGCCTGGGTGGGTCCTCCAGGAGCGAGGCTTCCTTGGGAATCAGACCCAAGGAGGATACCTTCCCTGAAAGGTCCAGGCAGTAAAGGGTTTTGTCAGACCCACGTGGGGCAGTGCCCCACTAAGACTCAGTGCTCAGGTCAGGCCTTTAGGATGGCCATGCCACATGAGAGTGGGCACAAGAGGTCCAGGGTGCCACAAGGACTGGGGGCTCTCCGACCCTGGGGAGGGGTGTGTGATTCAGCCCATGGGGTCATACTGCTGATTTTCAAGTATGACTCCAACCTCATGGCCCCGAATGGAACCAACCATATTAAGCAATGGGCCATCCCAGTGTTGCTAGTTTGAGGCAAGTGTGGGAGGGCACCATTACCCTGAGGTTGGCTCTGGACTAGCTCTGGCTGGTGCCTGATGGTGCTGAGAGTTTTGGACTTTGAGCCAAGGTTACAGCCCATGTCCCACTGGGGGTCCTCTCTTCCCTGTGGGTAAGTGACAGTGTTGTGTCCTCCTGAGTGGGAAGGCCTGCTGTGGAAGGACCTGTCCCAGAAATTTTCCATCGAGGCTGCTTCTGAGTCTTGGGGTCATCTCCATTGAGGTGGGGTCTCGGAAAGGATTAGACATCACGTGTCTCCTGATTGGCCGAGTGTGGCGTGCTCTGTGCGTGGGAGCTGTTGTATGGGGCAGGGTTGGGGACCTACCAGAGAGTCCCCAAGGCTCTTGGGCCCCAGGCTGCTATTTCTGGTGTGTTGTACAGCGGGCCCTGGTTGCTCGTCCTCCACACCCAGGGGCAGGCTGTGCAACTGCCAGTTTGGCAGCACCTGACATCCGGGTGAGCCTCCTTGGTTGGGCGTGAGATGCTAGGTGGCCCTGGCCCACACCAGGGGAACAGTACATCCATGGGGTCGTACAAGTGAACTTTCGTGGGCAGTTGAGGTGCTCAAGGTTCCTGCAGTAGGGCATAGCCAGGGCAACTTGCCCAAGCCCAGTGACCCGCCTGCCCTGTCCTTCCAGGGTTCAGTCGTGGGGAGGGCCGGGGCACCCCTATGTCCATGACATATCAAGGTTTCACATCACGTGGGTCCACGGTGGGAGAGTAGGCATGAGCAGGCACCTCCCCACCCCCTTCCCTGCATGGACGTGTCAGGTTCCATTTCGACACATGTCTACCTTCTGTCCTTTAGATGGTGAGACTAAAGGAAGACTTTCATTGGGCCGTGCTGGACCCTGGTAAGTGGCGGTCAGCCACGTGCCCAGCCCTTGTTGTAGTGATGCTCAGGTCTTTCCTGGCGCCCTGGTGTCCAGCACTGAGCTTGGTGAACACATCTGGGTCCCGCCGGATGCATGTGTGGGGCGGGGGGTGCCCTGAGTTGGGTCAATGATGAGAACCTTATATTGTCTGAAGAGAGGTGATGACTTAAAAGTCATGCTCAATAGGATTACGCTGAGGCCCAGCCTAATGAGAATTTTCAAAGGATGCTGGTATTTTCAGGTCCCCTGCCGGGCCATTGTGTTTTGGACTGAGACCTCAAGGCCCTGCACAGCATCTTGGGTGTGCCCCACACTGTCTCTGCTCCTTTGTGAGGCAGCCCAGTCTCACTACTTGGGCTTGGTGTGGACGCTCCCATTACTTGGGGACAGGGCACCTTGCTGGGTCTTTCCTGAGCCCCGACTCTCCCCTTGTCTTTCAGTGAGCTCTTCTGCCCACAGAGCCCCTGGCATTGACAAGCACAGGTGAGTGGATCCTGCTGGGGTCATGGGCCATTAGCGAGGCTGTGTGGGCTAGCCAAGGGGCACCCCTCAGCCACCAGGGTTTCCTCAGGAGCTGCCCTGAATCTCGTCCTGGGATGGGTCCTCCAGGAGGGAGGCTTCCTTGGCAGTTAGACCCAAGTGGGATACCTTCCCTGAAAGGTCCACTCAGTAAAGGGTTTTCGCAGCCCCACTCAGGGCAGTGCCCCGCTAAGACTCAGTGCTCAGGTCAGGCCTTTAGGACGTCCACGCCACATGAGAGTGGGCAAAAGGGGTCCAGGGTGCCACAAGGTTCGGGGACTGTCTGACACTGGGGAGGGGTGTGTGATTCAGCCCATGGGGTCATGCTGCTGATTTTCAAGGATGACTCCAAACCCATGGTCCCTAATGCGATGAAACATATTAAGCAATGGGCCATCCCCGTGGTGTCTGTTTGAGCGAAGTGTGGAACAGCACCGTTTCTGTGAGATTGGCTCTGGACTAGCTCTGGCTGGTGCCTGATGGTGCTTAGAGTTTTGAGCTTTGAGCCAAGGTTACAGCCCATGTCCCACTGGGGGTCCTCTCTTCCCTGTGGGTAAGTGGCAGTGTTGTATCCTCCTGAGTGGGAAGGCCTGCTCTGGAAGGACGTGTCCCAGAAATTTTCCATCCAGGCTGCTTCTGAGTCTTGGGGTCATCTCCAGTGGGGTGGGGTCTCGGAAATGATTAGACATCAAGTGTCCCCTGATTGACCGAGTGTGGCGTGCTCTGTGCGTGGGAGCTGTTGTATGTGGCAGGGATAGGGATCCACCACAGAATCCACGAGGACATGGGGCCCCGGGCTGCGATTTCTGGTGTGTTGTACAGCGGGCCCTGGTTGCTCGTCCTCCACACCCAGGGGCAGGCTGTGCGACTGCCAGTTCGGCAGCACCTGACATCCGGGCCAGCCTCCTTGGTTGGGTGTGAGATGGTAGGTGGCCCTGGCTCACACCCAGGGGAACAGCACATCCCTGAGGTCATACAAGTGTACTTTTTGTGGTGTGTTGAGGTCCTCAAGGTACCTGCAGTAGGGCATAGCCAGGGCAACTTGCCCAAGCCCAGTGACCCACCTGCCCTGTTATTCCAGGGTTTAGTCGTAGGAAGGGCTGGGGCTTCCCTACGTCCATGACATGTCAAGGTTTCACATTACATGGGTCCACGGTGGGAGAGTAGGCATGAGCAGGCACCTCCCCACCCCCTTCCCTGCATGGAGGTGTGAGGTTCCATATCGACACATGTCCACCATCTGTCCTCTAGATGGTGAGACAAAAGGAAGACTTTTTTTTTTTTTTTTTTTTTTTTGGGACGGAGTTTTGCTCTTGTTACCCAGGCTGGAGTGCAATGGGACGATCTCGACTCACCGCAACCTCCGCCTCCTGGGTTCTGGCAGTTCTCCTGTCTCAGCCTCCTGAGTAGCTGGGATTATAGGCATGCACCACCATGCCCCCTAACTTTTTGTATTTTTAGTAGAGACAGGGTTTCACCATGTTGGCCAGGATGGTCTCGATCTCTCCACCTCGTGACCCACCCGCCTCGGCCTCCCAAAGTGCTGGGATTACAGGCTTGAGCCACCGCACCCGGCCCTAAAGGAAGACTTTCATTGGGCCCTGCTGGAATTTGGTGAGTGGCTGTCAGCCACGTGCCCAGCCCTTGCTGTGCTGAAGCTCAGGCCTCTCCTGGCGCCCTGGTGTCCTGCATTGAGCTTGGTGAGCATATCTGGGTCCCGCTGGATGCATGTGTGGGGAGGGGGGTGCCCTGGGTTGGGTCAATGATGAGAACCTTATGTTGTCTGAAGAGAGGTGATGACTTAAAAATCATGCTCAATAGGATTACGCTGAGGCCCAGCCTAGATGTGAATTTTGAAAGGATGCTGGGATTTTCGGGTCGCCTGAAGGGCCATTGTGTTTTGGACTGGACCGCAAGGCCCTGAACAGCATCTTGGGGGTGCCCCACACTGCCTCTGCTCCTTTGTGAGGCAGCCCAGTCTCACTACTTGGGCTTGGTGTGGACGCTCCCATTACTTGGGGACAGGGCACCTTGCTGGGTCTTTCCTGAGCCCCCATTCTCCCCTTGTCTTTCAGTGAGCTCTTCTGCCCACAGAGCCCCTGGCATTGACAAGCACAGGTGAGTGGATCCTGCTGGGGTCATGGGCCATTAGCGAGGCTGTGTGGGCTAGCCAAGGGGCACCCCTCAGCCACCAGGGTTTCCTCAGGAGCTGCCCTGAATCTCGTCCTGGGATGGGTCCTCCAGGAGGGAGGCTTCCTTGGCAGTTAGACCCAAGTGGGATACCTTCCCTGAAAGGTCCACTCAGTAAAGGGTTTTCGCAGCCCCACTCAGGGCAGTGCCCCGCTAAGACTCAGTGCTCAGGTCAGGCCTTTAGGACGTCCACGCCACATGAGAGTGGGCAAAAGGGGTCCAGGGTGCCACAAGGTTCGGGGACTGTCTGACACTGGGGAGGGGTGTGTGATTCAGCCCATGGGGTCATGCTGCTGATTTTCAAGGATGACTCCAAACCCATGGTCCTTAATGCGATGAAACATATTAAGCAATGGGCCATCCCCGTGGTGTCTGTTTGAGCGAAGTGTGGAACAGCACCGTTTCTGTGAGATTGGCTCTGGACTAGCTCTGGCTGGTGCCTGATGGTGCTTAGAGTTTTGAGCTTTGAGCCAAGGTTACAGCCCATGTCCCACTGGGGGTCCTCTCTTCCCTGTGGGTAAGTGGCAGTGTTGTATCCTCCTGAGTGGGAAGGCCTGCTCTGGAAGGACGTGTCCCAGAAATTTTCCGTCCAGGCTGCTTCTGAGTCTTGGGGTCATCTCCAATGGGGTGGCGTCTAGGAAAAGATTAGACATCAAGTGTCCCCTGATTGGCCGAGTGTGGCCTGCTCTGTGCGTGGGAGCTGTTGTATGTGGCAGGGATAGGGATCCACCACAGAATCCACGAGGATATGGGGCCCCGGGCTGCGATTTCTGGTGTGTTGTACAGCGGGCCCTGGTTGCTCGTCCTCCACACCCAGGGGCAGGCTGTGCGACTGCCAGTTCGACAGCACCTGACATCCGGGCCAGCCTCCTTTGTTGGGTGTGAGATGGTAGGTGGCCCTGGCCGACACCCAGGGGAACAGCACATCCCTGGGGTCGTACAAGTATACTTTTGTGGTGTGTTGAGGTCCTCAAGGTACCTGCAGTAGGGCGTAGCCAGGGCAACTTACGCAAGCCCAGTGACCCACCTGCCCTGTTATTCCAGGGTTTAGTCGTAGGGAGGGCCGGGGCTCCCCTGCGTCCATGACATGTCAAGGTTTCACATTACATGGATCCACGGTGGGAGAGTAGGCATGAGCAGGCACCTCCCCACCCCCTTCCCTGCATGGAGGTGTCAGGTTCCTTTCGACACATGTCCACCTTCTGTCCTCTAGATGGTGAGACTAAAGGAAGACTTTCATTGGGCCTTGCTGGACCTTGGTGAGTGGCGGTCAGCCACTTGCCCAGCCCTTGCTATGCTGAAGCTCAGGCCTTTCCTGGCGCCCAGGTGTCCTGCACTGAGCTTGGTGAGCACATCTGGGTCCAGCTGGATTCATGTGTTGGGAGGTGGGTGCCCTGAGTTGGGTCAATGATGAGAACCTTTTATTGTCTGAAGAGAGGTGATGACTTAAAAATCATGCTCAATAGGATTACGCTGAGGCCCAGCCTAATGAGAATTGTGATAGGATGCTGGGATTTTCGGGTCCCCTGCAGGGCCATTGTGTTTTGGACTGAGACCTCAAGGCCCTGAACAGCATCTTGGGGGTGCCCCACACTGTCTCTGCTCCTTTGTGAGGCAGCCCAGTGTCACTACTTGGGCTTGGTGTGGACGCTCCCATTACTTGGGGACAGGGCACCTTGCTGGGTCTTTCCTGAGCCCCCATTCTCCCCTTGTCTTTCAGTGAGCTCTTCTGCCCACAGAGCCCCTGGCATTGACCAGCATAGGTGAGTTGATCCTTCTGGGGTCACGGCCATTAGCAAGGCTGTGTTGGTTTCCCAAGGGTCACCCCTCAGCCACAAGGGTTTCCTCAGGAGCTCACCTGAATCCCGTCCTGGGATGGGTTCTCCAGGAGGGAGGCTTCTTTGGGAGTCAGACCCAAGGAGGATACCTTCCCTGAAAGGTCCAGGCAGTAAAGGGTTTCCCTGAGATTGGCTCGGGATTAGCTATGGCTGGTGCCTGATGGTGCTGAGAGTGTTGGCCTTTGAGCCACAGTTACAGCCCATGTTCCACTGGGGCTCCTCTCTTCCCTGTAGGTAAGTGGCATTGTTTTGTCCTCCTGAGTGGGAAGGCCTGCTGTGGAAGGACCTGTCCCAGAAATTTTCCATGCATGCAGCTTCTGAGTCTTGGGGTCATCTCCATTGAGGTGGGGTCTCGGAAAGGATTAGACATCACGTGTCTCCTGATTGGCCGAGTGTGGCGTGCTCTGTGCGTGGGAGCTGTTGTATAGGGCAGGGTTGGGGACCTACCAGAGAGTCTACAAGGCCCTTGGGCCCTAGTCTGCTATTTCTGGTGTGTTGTACAGCGGGTCCTGGGTGCTTGCCCTCCACACCCATGGGCAGGCTGTGCGACTGCCAGTTCGGCAGCACCTGACATCCAGGCCAGCCTCCTTGGTTGGGCGTGAGATGCTAGGTGGCCCTGGTCCACAGCCAGGGGCACAGCACATCCCTGTGGTCATACAAGTGAGCTTTAATGGGCAGTTGAGGTGCTCAAGGTACCTGCAGTGGGGCATAGCCAGGGCAACTTGCCCAAGCCCAGTGACCCACCTGCCCTGTCCTTCCAGGGTTTAATCGTGGGGAGGGCCGGGGCACCCCTATGTCCATGACATGTAAAGGTTTCACATCACATGGGTCCACGGTGGGAGAGCAGGAATGAGCAGGCACCTCCCCACCCCCTTCCCTGCATGGAGGTGTCATGTTCCATTTCGACACATGTCCACCTTCTGTCCTCTAGGTGGTGACACTAAAGAAAGACTTTCATTGGGCCGTGCTGGAATTTGGTGAGTGACGGTCAGCCACGTGCCCAGCCTTTGCTGTGCTGAAGCTCAGGTCTTTCCTGGCGCCCTGGTCTCCTGCACTGAGCTTGGTCAGCACATCTGGGTCCCGCTGGATGCATGTGTTGGGAGGGGGGTGCCCTGAGTTGGGTCACTGATGAGAACCTTATGTTGTCTGAAGAGAGGTGATGACTTAAAAATCATGCTCAATAGGATTACGCTGAGGCCCAGCCTAATGCGAATTTTGAAAAGATGCTGGGATTTTCGCGTCCCCTGCAGGGCCATTGTGTTTTGGACTGAGACCTCAAGGCTCTGAACAACATCTTGGGGGTGCCCCACACTGTCTCTGCTCCTTTGTGAGGCAACCCAGTCTCACTACTTGGGCTTGGTGTGGACGCTCCTATTACTTGTGGACAGGGCACCTTGCTGGGTCTTTCCTGAGCCCCCATTCTCCCCTTGTCTTTCAGTGACTTCTTCTGCCCACAGTGCCCCTGGCATTGAGCAGCATAGGTGAGTGGATCGTGCTGGGGACACGGGCCCTTGGCGAAGCTGTGTGGGTTTGCCAAGGGTCACCCCTGAGCCACAAGGGTTTCCTCAGGAGCTGACCTGAATCCCATCCTGGGATGGGCCTTCCAGGAGGGAGGCTTCCTTGGGAATCAGACCCAAGGAGGATACCTTCCCTAAAAGGTCCAGGCAGTAAAGGGTTTTGTCAGCCCCACGCAGGACAGTGCCATGCTAAGACTCAGTGCTCAGGTCAGGCCTCTACAACGGCCACGCCATATGAGAATGGGCACAAGGTGTCCAGGGTTCCACAAGGGTCGTGTGATTCAGCCCATGGGTTCAGGCTGCTGATTGTCAAGGATTACGCCAAACGCATGTTCCCTAATGGGACCAAACATATTAAGCAATGGGCCATCCCAGTGGTGCCTGTTTGATCCAAGTGTGGGACGGCACCGTTTCCCTGAGATTGGCTCTGGACTAATTCTGGATGGTGTGGGATACTGCTGAGAGTTTTGGGCTTTGAGCCAAGGTTACCGCACATGTCCCACTGGGGGTCCTCTCTTCCCTGTGGGTAAGTGGCCGTGTTGTGTCCTCCTGAGTGGGAAGGCCTGCTGTGGAAGGACCTGTCCCAGAAATTTTCCATCCATGCAGCTTCTGAGTCTTGGGGTCATCTCCAGTGGGGTGGGGTCTCGGAAAGGATTAGACATCCCATGTCCCCTGATTGGCTGAGTGTGGCGTGCTCTGTGTGTGGGAGCTGTTGTATGGGGCAGGGATGGGGCCCCGCCAGAGAATCCACAAAGCCCTTGGGCCCCAAGCTGCGATTTCTGGTGTGTTGTACAGCCGGCCCTGGGTCCTCGCCTTCCACACCCAGGGGCAGGCTGTCCGACTGCCAGTTCGGCAACACCTGACATCCAGGCCAGCCTCCTTGGTTGGGCGTGAGATGCTATTTGGACTGGCACACAACCAGGGGGACAGCACATCCATGGGGTTGTACATGTGAACTTTCGTGGGCAGTTGAGGTGCTCAAGGTACCTGCTGTAGGGCAAAGCCAGGGCAACTTGCCCAAGCCCAGTGACCCGCCTGCCCTTCCAGGGTTCAGTCGTGGGGAGGGCCGGGGCTCCCCTATGTCCATGACATGTCAAGGTTTCACATCACATCACATATGTCCACGGTGGGAGAGCAGGCATGAGCAGGCACCTCCCCATCCCCTTCCCTGCGTGGAGGTGTGAGGTTCCATTTCGACACATGTCCACCTTCTGTCCTCCAGATGGTGAGACTAAAGGAAGACTTTTTTTTTTTTTTTTTTTTGAGACGAATTTTCGCTCTTGTTACCCAGGCTGGAGTGCAATGGCACGATCTCGGCTTACTGCAACCTCCGCCTCCTGGGTTCTGGCAATTCTCCTGTCTCGCTGGGATTATAGGCATGCACCACTATGCCCCCTAACTTTCTGTATTTTTAGTAGAGACGGGGTTTCACTCTGTTCGCCAGGATGGTCTCGATCTCTTGACCTCGTGATCCACCCGCCTCGGCCTCCAAAAGTGCTGGGATTACAGGCTTAAGCCACTGCGCCTGGCCCTAAAGGAAGACTTTCATTGGGCCGTTCTGGACCTTGGTGAGTGGTGGTCAGCCACGTGCCCAGCCCTTGCTGTGCTGACGCTCAGTCCTTTCCTGGCGCCCTGGTGTCCTGCACTGAGCTTGGTGAGCACATCTCGGTCCTGCTGGATGTATGTGTGGGGAGTGGGATGCCCTGAGTTGGGTCAATGATGAGAACCTTATTGTCTGAAGAGAGGTGATGACTTAAAAATCATGCTCAATAGGATTACGCTGAGGCCCAGCCTAATGAGAATTTTGAAAGGATACTGGGATTTTCGGGTCCCCTGTAGGGCCATTGTGTTTTGGACTGAGACGTCAAGGCCCTGAACAGCATCTTGGGGTGCCCCACACTGTCTCTGCCCCTTTGTGTGGCAGCCCAGTCTCACTGCTTGGGCTTGGTGTGGGCGCTCCTGTTACTTCGGACACGGCACCTTGGATGGGTCTTTCCTGAGCCCCCATTCTCCCCTTGTCTTTCAGTGAGCTTTTCTGCCCACAGAGCCCCTGGCATTGACAAGCATAGGTGAGTGGATCCTGCGGGAGTCAAGGGCCATTAACGAGGCTTTGTGGGTTTGCCAAAGGTCACCCCTCAGCTACAAGGGTTTCCTCAGGAGCTGACCTGAATCCCGTCCAGGGATGGTTTCTCTAGGAGGGAGGCTTCCTTGGGAATCAGACCCAAGAAAGATACGTTCACTGAATGGTCCAGGCAGTAAAGGGTTTTTTCAGCCTCATGCAGGGCAGTGCCCCGCTAAGACTCAGTGCTCTGCTCAGGCCTCTAGGATGGTCATGCCACATGAGAGTGGGCGCAAGGGGTCTAGGGTGCCACAAGGGTCAGGGGCTCTCCGACTCTGGGAAGGGGTGTGTGATTCATTCCATGGGGTCAGGCTGCTGATTTTTAAGGATGACTCCAATCCCATGGCCCCGAATGGGACAAAACATATTAAGCAATGGGCCATCCCAGTGGTGCCTGTTTGAGGTAAGTGTGGGAGGGCACCGTTACCCTGAGATTCGCTCTGGACTAGCTCTGGCTGGTGCCTGATGGTGCTGAGAGTTTTGGGCTTTTAGCCACGGTTTCAGCCCATGTCCTACTGGGGGTCCTCTCTTCCCTGTGGGTAAGTGGCAGTGTTGTGTCCTCCTGAGTGGAAAGGCCTGCTGTGGAAGGACGTGTCCCAGAAATTTTCCATCCAGTCTGCTTTTGCGTCTTGGGGTCATCTCCATTGGGGTGGGGTCTCGGAACGGATTAGACATCATGTGTCCCATGATTGGCCGAGTGTGGCGTGCTCTGTGCGTGGGAGCTCTTGTATGGCGCAGGAATGGGGCCCCACCAGAGAATCCACGAGGCCCTGGGACCCCAGGCTGCGATTTCTGGTGTGTTTTACAGCGGGCCCTGGGTGCTCGCCCTCCACATCCAGGGGCAGGCTGTGCGACTACCAGTTCGGCAGCACCTGACATCCGGGCCAGCCTCCTTGGTTGGGCTTGAGATGATAGGTGGCCCTGGCCCACAACCAGGGGAACAGGACATCCCTGGGGTCGTACAAGTGAACTTTCGTGGACGGTTGAGGTGCTCAAGGTACCTGCAGTAGGGCAAAGCCAGGGCAACTTGCCCAAGCTCAGTGACTCGCCTGCCCTGTTCTTCCAGGGTTCAGTCGTTTGGAGGGCCAGGGTTTTCCTACGTCTGTGACATGTCAAGGTTTCACATCACATGGGTCCACGGTGGGAGAGCAGGCATGAGCAGGCACCTCCCCACCCCCTTCCCTGCATGGAGGTGTCAGGTTCCATTTCGACACATGTCCACCTTCTGTCCTCTAGGTGGTGACACTAAAGGAAGACTTTCATTGGGCCGTGCTGGACCTTGGTGAGTGGTGGTCAGCCACGTGCCCAGCCCTTGCTGTGCTGAATCTCAGGCCTTTCCTGGCGCCCAGGTGTCCTGCACTGAGCTTGGTGAGCACATCTGGGTCCCGCTGGATGCATGTGTGGGGAGGGGGGTGCCCTGAGTTGGGTCAATGATGAGAACCTTATGTTGTCTGAAGAGAGGTGATGACTTAAAAATCATGCTCAATAGGATTACGCTGAGGCCCAGCCTAGGGGAGAATTTTGGAAGAGGATGCTGGAATCCCAAGGTCCCCTGGCAGGCCCACTGTATTTTGGACTGGAGTCCTCATGGACCTGAAGGGCATCTCTAGGGTGCCCAACCCTATCTTTTTCTTCCTCAGTGTGGCAGCCCAGGCTCCATGTGTGGGCTTGGTGTTTGCACCGGTTCACTTAGGGCGGGGCAGGGAACCAGAGTCTCCTTCCTGAGCCCCTTTCTCCTCTGTGTCTTTCAGCGAGCTCTTCTGCCCGGTGGGTCTGTGGCCTCAAGTGGCATAGGTGAGTGGATCCTGCTGGGATCACGGGCCATGAGCCAGGCCACGGGGAGTCGCTGAGGGTCACTCTTCAGTCCACAAGGGTTACCTTAGGTAGCCACCCTGAATCCCTATCAGGGACGGATGGCTTCTCTAGGAGGGTGGCTTTTTTGGGAATTGATTCCAAGAAGGACACCTTCCCTGAAGCCCCGCAGGGGTTACGGAGGTCCAGGGCAGGAAAGGGTTTCTTCAATCTAATGCAGTGCAGCTGCTAGCTTAGACTTTGTGCACGGGTCAGGCCTGGAGGCCTGTTCAGGAGGGGGTCCACAGGGTCTCTGGGGGTTATAGATTTTATGTGGGATCTCTCAGTCCCTGAGGCTTGCAGCGGGCGGAGTGATTGGGCTTACAGAGTCAGGTCATGAAGATTTAAAGGTCGGGCTCAACCCATGGCCCTGATGGGACTGACCCTGTTGAGCAATGGCGCATCACAGTGGTGCCTCCTTGAGTATGGTGGGGGTGGCGTGGCCTGAATGGGGTTGGACTAAGGCTGAGCTCTGGCAGTCACCTAGTGGTTGGCCCTGGGAATCGTGGGCTTTGGGCCAATGGTTCAGCCCACATTCCATTGGAGATCATCTCACACCAAAGTAGAGTGGCCAGAAGGGTGGCATCTTGTGGTGGAAGGCCGCTGTCAAAGGTTCTGTGCCTGCAATTTGCTGCCCAGGCTGCTTCTGAGCCATGGGGTTGCCTCCAATGTGGCGAGGTCTTGAGCTAAAGGAAAGGAGAGGACATCATGTGGTCCCTGATTGGTTGAGTGTGGCCCAGTGCTGTTTGGGAGGTGTGCAGTCCGTGAATGGGGACCCAACAGAGAAAGCACGTGGCCCTGGGGCCCCAGGATGCAATTTTTGGTGTGACCCTTTAGAGGACACCTGGGCAGGTGCATTCCATGCCCAGGGGCAGCCTAAGTGACTGCCAGGTCTGCAGAGGCACATGGCATCCAGGCCAGCCTCCTTGGTTTGCAGTGAGCTGGTTGGTGGCCCTGGCCCTGCCCGGTATCCCTGCATGGCCCAGAGTTGCTGAGGGA